AAGCTCGGCAGTGCGAACTCGAACCAAGTTCCGCACCAGGACATGGGAGGAGATGGAGGCCTCGACCTTGACCCCTCCGACCCTCTCGAAGAAAATCACTGCAGAGAGCACAGACTGTAGTCTGGTCCTGGCACAAGGTTCCTGCGCCAGCTCTTCCACATAATTCAACAAGAGTCCTAAATGCGAGGGGAAGACTGTCCCCTCAACAGCGAATACCCATGCCGCAAACTTGGTCCATTCCCTCACGTGCCGTCTTAGGGTGGACGCTCTAAGCGTTCCGGCTGACGCCTCCAATACAGCTTGGCAATCAAGGGCGTAACTTGCCATTGAGCATACCGGCATACAAGCCCTTTTCAGCTCCTTCGCTAAAGCCTGCCTCCAGCGTCGGAGCTCTGCAGCCTCAGCGTCGGCCCTCGCACGATCGTGCTTGGCCAAGGCAAGTTTTTTAGCCAACCGACACGGCCACGCCGTGAGGGATCGCTTTGCACCAGCTCTTGTCTGAAGCCACCCAGTGCTTACTTCAAGCTGCTGCTGAGGCCCAGCCGAAATCGATGAGGACGTTTGCGCCAGCTGACCTTGCACCGCTCTAGTCCTCAAGACGCGATCTGCAGCCTGTGATACATCAGAGCAGACCTTTTCAAGAATCTCGCATGCACTGAACCATTCAGCTGAGCCCATTGTAAGTCCCAGCGATTCCACAAAATCTTTGATGTCTGAATCATCTGAAAACAAGTTCGACAAAATCTCGGGAGAAGGCTGTCGCGACTCCTGATCAAGAGCCTTCTTGACACACTCAGGTAAGTCCTGCCACGACAGACTGGAGTCAGCCTCTTCCTGAGGCTCTTCGTCACCCATCGCGCATGACGATCACTCCGACCCATACACAAATGAGTCCCCCCCTCCCCTTTTGGACTCCGCAGAGCCGAGCCCAAAGGTTCGGACGAATATTGATTGTCATCTGTTCCTCCAGCAGGAGGGAACAAGAATTGCACATGAAGAAACTCATGTAAAACAAATCACCGTGTGACATGAAAATCAATCCACAAAAGAGTCGAAACTCGACTCAACAAATGGAAAGCATTTTCGATATTGGCACATGAAAATGTGAGCAAGTTATGTTTCAAAATCTCATTCTGATGGACAAGTCCACCTCACATGCTGGATTTGGTGTTTGGACTTGGACAGGTAAAGATTTCAACTGCGTCGAAAGCGAGAGTATTCGACAGGCCGACCTGTTACCATGTGCAAGGAGAGGCACGAGCAGGACGTTGGGAATGGAAGTACGAGGAACAGGCATTGGCAGAAGGATGTCGCCATTGCTGGATGTGCTATCCAGAAACCCGTCCCGGAGGAGTTCAACGTAAAGGACGTGGAGGACGCATGGAACCGCGTGGACAAGAGGACAGCGATGACTGTTGGGAAGTCATGGAGTATACCGTGGAGTCAACCTCAGGATGTCCGAAGAAATGCTACTGGTGCGGAGAAAGGAAATGTACTCGTGAAAAGCAGGATCATACTTGGTGTGCCTGTACACCGTGTATATCGGAGTACGCGACGAAGAAGTGGAGGATGGACTACGACCAAACAAAGGAACCTCCCAGAACTCAGGAAGCATCGGACGAAGCACGTGGATCTGGAGAAGCAAATGCCGGAGTGCAACGCCGGAGCACCGGAAAAGGATCGCTGAGAAAGCGTGGAAGAGCAACGATGGGAACACCGGATATCGTACACACGGACGGAACAAGGATGCCCGTCATAAGCGAGGAAGACTTTCAACTTGGAGGAAAAGTTGTCTCTGGAAGGAATGAAGAAGAGAACCCGGAGCTGATGGACTTCCGTGGACAGATGATGACAATGGAAGAAGTCGGAGAGACGGTCATGGAAGGCGAATGCCTAGCATCGTATCAGGACTACTTTGAAAGGCAGAACCAGGATCAAGGAAGAGGGCCGGACAAAGATCCGGAACCTGGTACCCCAGACAGTACGGAAATGCGTACTGGGGGACCCCTCGCCTGAGAGGACGGTCACCTACGCCCCTAATACCTACGCGGAGTACACCGTTGAGGAGCAGCAGTGAGTGTAGGCCGGAAGACAGAAAGAAAAGTTTCACCCAGCGAACGTAACGGCAGAAGCTCAAAAGAAGGAAGAGCGCCAGCGTTGTTTCACGAGGACGAAGTACTTGTTACTGTACGAACGTCAGGACATGGACGGTCTGACAAACCCCAGAAGTACCCAGGAGCTGTGGAGGCAAAGCCTATACAGCCAGGGCAGGAGGTTTGCCCGACCGCGGACCGTTGCATCAGTACAAGGACTTCGAGGCAGGGTGTTAAGATTTGTGCATAGAACGCCCACACCTTTGGAGAGCCTAGGCTACGGCACATAGAATGTATAGAATGACTATGCAACGCCTTTGGCTTAAGCAGGAAAAGCGTGAACGCTCAGGGTCTTACAGTTTAACTGTTTCTTCCTCTGGAGTTCCACACGTTGCGGTTTGCTATGTGCTGGTTGCCGACAGAGGCAGCTGTGGTTCCCAAGTCCGCCGAATGTGGATCACGCGAGTATCCGCGAAAAAGATGTGAGGAAGGAGGCAGATAGCGGTGCTCCTTGAATAACGACGTGGCAACTTTGTGACCTTATATGGAAGGTAAGCGCGCTTCTGAGCTGAGGGCGTGTTCGCGATGTGATTTCCAACAAACTCAGGCGACGCAGGATCTTGGCAATGCATTGCATGGCTCGTGTAGTCATGACTGCGTTCGGAGCACGCCAAGACACAGTCGAAGTTTCTGAGGCAGGCGGCGAGGTTCAGATTCTGTAGTGCTTCCCACAAGCCCACTTTTGGGTCCGGAAATTGTCAGGATTGTGGTGACTGTTGTGTAGGGGCCTCCAGAGTGCCGGGAGATCTTCGTTAGTTTGTTCATTTTCATAGCTCAGCTACACCATATCTGTGCTGCGTTGCTTCAGAGTCTGCAGCAGATCAAGATGCTCAAGCTGTAGTCGCTGTAGTGGCTGCGTAAACAAGAGCAGAAGTTGTGACTTTCACAACATCTGTTTGCGGCCGTTCTTTGAAGTTCTTCGTGAGTTGAGAATTCAGTAAAAGGGTAAAGAGCGGGGCCAAAAATGGGTCCAGAATTCGGACCCGTGTCTGGAGCCGTCTAATATTGGCACAATTCCCGCAGGTTCAGAAACGGCCCCATTTTAGCGGCCGCATTTGGTCGCGGGGAACCACTTTCGAGCTCGTTGTTGGAGTCGCAAAATCTGGACGCGGATCAAGGAATACTGTCCAATGTTACCAGTTGGTCAGCAAGATGCAGCTGGATAATTCCAACATGTAGCACCCAGTCACTGCTGGTCTTGAGCACATGTTCGGTTCAAACAATCAAATTGCGGCATGTGTTCTTGCCAAGTGCAGGATGCTGCAGCAACATGCAGCAACAGTATCAGTGGCCGGCGCTGTCTTTGCTTCTTACCATGGCTTCGAACGAATTGCAGCAGGTCGGATGATCTCTGAGGAACCTGTCCGTTTCCAGGACAAAGTTGCAGAAGGATGATCAAGTTTGTGCACTTTGAATGTGGATGATTTTCAGACCATTTCCTGATTTATTTTTGGTCCAATCCACTCAGACTGTCATCAGGTCCCTTCGTGCAGGCAAAACGTTTGGTATCTCTGCTGTTCACAGCGGTGACATCCGTGTTTCCAAGGATGTGCTGCATGATCTCTGCTTCAAATGCGGGTTGGAACGATGAGGTTTTGAAGTTAGAGTTCAGAGTGAAATTTGGGAATTCGAAATCAGAATTTAGTTCTCCAAATCTAGTTCAATCCAGCTTCGTCTAAGTTCATCTCTGAGTTTTAAACTTTTGGTTCAGAGTTATCCAAACCTAGAAAAGGCCCGCAGGTCTGGAGTTTTGTGAGTTGACTTTTAGTTTCAGACAAAAACGGGTATGTCGAACTAGATACTGCGCAGGCGCCACGATTGTTGGAGCCGAGTCCGTCCGCGCCGGTTGTTTTTCATGGTTGGCAACGTCCGAGCTATGTTGATCCGTCAGAGCACAACCATCACGATTCTAGCCCGTGCTTATGTGTTACCGCTTTGGAATGCTGGTACTGAGCTTGCCTATGTTTTTTTTCAGTTTTTGCATGTTTACTGCAGCAATGGGGGTCCACAGTCGGGTTGTGGCAATCTTTTTCCCGCCGTTTCGACAGATTTGCTTTCAAAGTTGCGTGCGGTTGAGAGTTTTTCAGCCTTCTTGTCCTGTCCGAAACTAGTGCGTGCGAAAGTTTCGTCCGCAGGTGCTATGTTAGTGCAACGGGTCCACCCGAGGTCTTGTCTAGGTCGCGCACTAGCATCACTAGCATACACAGTGTAGCGAAAGCCAGATGAGGCTAGGACCAGATTCCTTTCCCCATTGTGCTTTTGACAAGCTTTCCGACCTGCTTCGTTCCCAACAACCTTGAGGTGCACAAAATGAGCAGGCGTTTGGAAAACAATGCTGAGCATCTTGTGCGTGGGACGGAATATGTGCACCAGTGGTTCGTACACAGTGACCATTTCACCACGCACCACGACTGTGTCTGGGATATAGGTACTTACATACCCAGAGCCCTTCGCTGGAAACTGAAAGTAGTTCCGGGCAGGCTGGGCACTAATTCGCGTGCAATAGATGATCGCGTATCACTGCCGTAGATGAAAAAAGAATCAAGGCACACGTTTTCCTGATTTTTGATACTACATTGAATAGATAGACTTAGTTCTGCACAAACTACTAATGTATGGCTCATTTTGCTGAAATGGCGTTCCTCAGAGGGCTAACCGGTGCAAAGTTTTTGGCCCCGAGCCACCGGAGCTTTCAGTCATGTCAACCTGCAAGAGCATTGTCAAGCAGTTAATTGAGCTTCAGAGTTCGGTTGAGTGCTATGCAAGTTTGTTGCATTGTTGGATGTGGAAGTTTTGGCTCGCGACAACTTCCCACAGCCACTTGCTGTTTGCCTCGGCAGTTTTGCCATGTTGCCTCTCCTGCTCCTCGCATCGCTTTGGGCCACCTGCCTCACTGCTCTAGCAACTGTGTCATGTGGAGAGCATGATGCCTGCTCGACGGACCAAGCATCTCTGCTCAGCTATCGAGCTCCCGCAACTCACCAGTTCGCCCGCACGGACGACGGAGCCACGATCGTGTCCGAGACAGACGTGCAGCTAAGTGATGCCGAGTGGAAGAATCTGCATGAGGAGCACTTCTACAGCCTGGACACTGACGGATCGGGCGAGCTCAGTGCCGAGGAGATTTTGATTGGCTTTTTCAGTGGGGAGAAGATCGATCATGAGAAGCAGCGAGAGGGAAGCATGAACGTGAGTGCCTCGTCGTTGAAGCTCTCTGAGAGGGAGGTGGCTTCCCTCATCCAGAGGGCTGACCTTGACGGCTCCGGCATGCTTTCCCTGAAGGAGCCTTGTGACTGCTGCTGCCCTTGTTGTGGTCGCTGATCTCCAGATACAGATACTACGTTACTACGTTGCTCTTGGTTGGAACGTACCATGGCTGTCATCGACAGCATCGCCATCACCATATGAAAACTAGTACTTAGCTCTCCCGATGCTTATTCTTGTTCCTGATCTTGTTATTATTGTTGTTTCGTTTTTACTAGCAAAAGAATCATCATCAATGCAATCACGGTCGCCAACATTCTCATCATGACTGTCCTCATGGGCCCTATCGTGATCATCCTGTCATCATGGTTGTCATCAGCTTCATGGTCATCATCGTCTCAAAACATGTTACATCATGACTGTTAGTATCCTTGGTCCCTGCTGTGTCGCCATGGAGGAGCTGCTGCTCGCCTTCCCCTCTGGAGCTCCGGCCTCGGCGGCCAGCCTCGGGCAAGAAGTCCCTACCCTGAGCATGTCCGATGCGCTTCCGAAGTGCACGAAGGAGATCAATGTGGACGAAATGGTCTCCAATGGCTGCTCCAAGTGGGGGAAGATCGGCGAAAGGAATTGTAAATGGCATGACATCGGTTGCCACGTCGAAATATTCGGCACAATCTTGTACGACTGCGTGAGAAGCGTCTCGAAGACCGTCGCCAAGACGTTCGAGGAATGTCTCAGCGAGGTCCTTGATGAGGTGAAGAGCAAGATACCGGACGACTTGCACAAAGCAGTCGAGCTTATCATGGATTGTGGGATTGATGCCGACAAGTGCAAGGACAAGCTGCTGGGAAGTCTTCAGCAGCTTGGGGACATCATTGCAGATTGGGTGAGCGACAACTTTGACAAGTTGGGCGACGGTCTAGCTGCAGAGTTCAACAAGGTGAAGGCACACGCAGCCGCTGCAGCCAACACTCTCGAAGGCGCCTGGAACGAGGTTCAGGGAACCTTCAATGAGGTCGGAAACTTTGTGTCAGGCGCAACTTCACTTGCGGCGGACATCGTACAGCAGTACGGAATCGATGACTTCTGCTCACCTGAGGACAGTGGCAGACTCGGCTTTTCGGTGACCGACTGTGGCGCATGGGACGCGGTGAGGGTGGTTCTAAACGGTCCGAACGATGGCACATAAACTTGAACACTAAAACCCTAAACGGCCATAAACCCTAAAAGGTGAAGAAAATCTTCGAGGACCTGACGAAGATCGAGGAGAACTTCAACAGTGCCGTGGACAAGCTGAAGTCGTGCATCGAGAGGAAGTACAACAAACTCCCAACGCCCTTTCTGCAAGTGAACACGCAGCAAGTCTGCGTGCCAGAAGAGTTCAGGGCCCCTCTGAATGGCATGATCGCAACAGTCCGATATTCCATGGCTGGCTTGGGTGGTGTTGGTGCGAGCTTTGTGGCTTCTATCAAGACCATCACGACGAAGCTCACGGACATCACCAAGAACCATTTCTCCCTGCTGCAGGACTGGGTCTTCTGTGACAGACATTGACTTACGCCACCTCAAGCGTTCAATGTGTGCAAAGAGTCATCGTAAACCCTGAACCCTAAACTCCAAGCTAATCAGTATAGTAACCCCAAACCCTAAACCCTACTGTAGTAGCTACCACTACGATCCTTCTGAAGAGGATAGAGGTCTGGTCGCTTCATCCTCGGAGCTCGGGGGAGTCGAGTGCGATGCCAACTTCGGCATGATCGTGGCGGAGCTTGCTTTCGCGCTTGTCAGCAGGCCCCCAGGGGGGGGTCGGACGTTCGGATGTTCGGAGGCTCTAAACTCTACCCTTTTTGGGAAATCCTTGAGGTAAGTAGTACTTCTCCCTTTTCTACAGGGTCCTTGTCTTTCTCTGGAACTCCCAGGCATCAGGGCAGCCCGGGCGCGTCCACCACCGGTAATGCCGTTGCTTTCATAATCCAGGTGCGCTTCATGTGCATTGGAGGCTTCTTCTACCCCCATTTGTCCTTCAACTTTGGCATGGATTGGGATGCTCGGTGATCATCTCAGATTTTGTTTGGAAGCTTCCGGTGATGTCATGCCCGCAGTTAAGACATGCGTGTTCACACATATATCTTCTACGATGCATTACACATGAAATATTCGAGTTTTTTGTAATATGTCATATATTACATGTTAACATGTGTCAGAAGCCTGAAAGGGGTAACATGGAAGGACATCTTGAAGAAGCCTTTCAAGCCCCAATCGAAGTCCGTGGTTATGGCCCTTGGCTGGGGACCCGTGGCAAACGACAAAGCCATCAGTGAGGGCTTTCTGGTCACCGGGTTCTGGTGAAGAAGAGCTTTTGCAAGGTTTTTTTGGTAAGGAGCTTAGTTTGGTCTCCATAATACAGAAACCATTCTGCTTGCTCTATCCCTTCACGGCAACCTCAGATCTTCAAGATGCGAAAAATCCATTGCATTCTGAAAACCCTTGTAATTAAGACTCTTCTATGGCAACTTGAGGAACTCCGAACCCTAAACCCCAAACCCTAAACCCGAGCAAGAGCCCAGGTGAAGGCTAGTGGTAAAACGCCAAAAGGCTGGGGCGGTGGAATCTCGGCGTGTATTTGCGGTTCAGCACTAAAAGGTTTAGGGCATGAGGGTTTAGGGTTGCAGGGTTTAAGTTTCGAGGCTTCCGGGTTGCGGGCTAGGGCTTAGGGTTCTAGTTTGCTTTTTTCTTAAAGCATGGCGTGTTTAGAGCTTCATCCTACGGTGGTCCGTATCGCCACTAACCTCTTGGCTGACGCCCCGGAATGGCTGCGTCCACTCATCGTGGTTCGGAGGGTCTCTGGCGATGCCGAAATGGTTGACCCCAGCTTTGATCATGTGCCTTTCACGGAAGCAGCTGAGCACAAGGCTGCAGGGGTGAGATTGGAACCACCCAGCCAGGCATGCGAGGTCGCTGCACGCCGTGCTTCTCCCTCAGTTGGTAGTGCGCACATACTTTTGCTCACGCAAGGCTCGGCTGCACTCCAACTGCGGTACTCCTCCTATAGCGAGGTTGAAAGCTTTCCTCGGCAACGCGCACGTCATTGTGATCGATGATATACTTGCAAATGCCGAAGCCCAACTGGTCATCCGCACCGGCGACTCTCGACAGCCCACTGGCGGGGACAAGCGATGCATCCACACCCTTTCTCGCCTCACTGCCAAACCCGAGAGTGTCCGTGCCTTGCACAGCTTGCCCCGCAGCCCATTCACCGGGTCGCCTTGTCGATGCACTGCGCGGTTTGGTGCACACTACCAGTAGACGAGCCTTGGGGCACCGGCACAACGGCCACCAAGGCACAGAGCCCCGCAGGGCACCAGCCTGACGGTGTGCAAACCTCTATCAGAATTCGGGGTGGATTACGGTGGGCCCGAGTGGGGGCACCAAGGGCCGGCTGGTCTTGCCAAAAGCCGGAAGAATCCCGGCTGGTGGGTGATGCCCCCTGCAGGCTCCTCGCAACCTATCGACGACAGGGGCAACCCGGCGAACTTGTACCTCACCCAGGAACGGATCAGCGACGAGCCGGAGCTCTTCCTCCAGATCCCAGGGCCGCCTGCGGCGATCTCCTGGTCAGACTTGGCCATCGGCCCCGGCCCGGACCCCGAGAACTCCTACCTCTTCATTCTGGACGGGGGGCCAAAGTTAGAAGGGCTCTTCAAATTCAAGCCACGCAGTAGCGTGGTCATCACCAGGGTCTCCGAGATCTTCGCAAACAAGAGCGACATAGCCAGCATGACCATGGAGGTCTTCACGGTGAACTTTCCTGGTGGAGGTGCCTTCTCATCCTATGCCATCTTCGTTGACCAGGGTTCCCCGGCAGAGGCTCTTGGTACGTCTGGGCGCGTTTACATCATCACAACCACTGGTGCAGGACGGGTCTTCTTTGTGGACTTGCCCAGCGTTGTTACCCCGACGGCCACTTTGGAGTTCACAGATACCGGCGTGAACCTCGGAACTTCCGAGATCAATGCTGCGGACATAACGTCGGACGGCAACCTGATCGGAGCACGCCCCTTTAAGCCGTCGTCGGCCACCTATTTCTGGACCCGGCCTTGTGAATCTGTTGAGCGAAGCATGGCTCAACTCTCATGCCCCGGAGACAACGTGGTGTCTTCAAGTCAGCGTGGAGAAACCTTTGCCTTTGGCACAGCCGAGTCCAAGTACGATTACTTCATGTTTGGGTCTGCAGGCGGCGTGAACCCCGTCGAATTCCAACAACTTCCTGCCACTCCGAGCAACCCGGATCAAAACTGTGCACTGCCGCAGACAACCCCATCGCCAGATCCCAACAGGATCGAGACGCTGCTCAGCAACGGAACTGGCCAGGAGCAGCTGGTGGTTTGGTATGCCAACTACGTCAGTGTGCCGGTGAGTTCGGTCACCCTTCGGAATCCACCCGGAGTTGCCTTCGACCTATTGCAGCTGGATGCGGGAGAGGTCGTCTACTACCAGGCCGAAAATCGCAATTTTACCTGCATTGACCCAGACTTCTTGCGGACCCTCCTGCTGAACATGCGCTTTGATGTCAGACTTCCTGCGAGCGACGAGGCTCGGGTTGTCGCTGTCGTTGCCCAGCTCGTGAGCAATCCGGAGGCTTTCGTGGAGGCGTTCCTTGCAGTCCTGCCGACGTTCTTCCCAGGCATCCAACAACAAATCTGCAACGGAACGCTCACAGCTGTCGGTGCAGTCTTGCAGCCAGCAACGACCACCACGACCACGACAACGACAGTGCCGTGGGACTTGCCATGGGGCTCCACGCAGCTAAGCCCAACACCACCCCAGCGCCTCGCCATGCTGTCCTACACGACCTCGCCATCAGAGTTCGTACGCTTCGGAGGCTTTCTGACAGACGCGGTCTGGCTCTACAGGCCACAGCTCGGACCTGTCAATTGGACCGATGTCACGCCCGCGGTCTCGGGCCCAGGGCCGAGATATGAGGCCAGCTTTGCCTATTCGCCAGAGGTTGGTGGCTCTCTGGTTTTTGGAGGCCGATTCAGCATCCAAAACTCCGCCTACGCTCCGAATGATGTGTATTTGCTCACTGGCACAGGCTTGACCTACATGTGGACGTTGGCGGCGCCAGCTGCGGCTCCGTCTGCACCTACCAAGCGTCGCCGTCACACAGCGGTGGTAGTCCAGAAGGACGGCGCCGACATGATGCTCATCTACGGTGGAAACTTCCTAAGTAGCTCTTTTGGAGGTTTGTATGCCTTCTTTCCCGGCAACGGCACCTGGCGAGAGCTCCAGCCCGACAACGTGGGGCCGCCAAACTATCCTGCGCCACGCTGGGGGCACTCAGCCGTCTTGGTCGAGCAGAGCTACCGCATGATCGTCTTCGCAGGGGTGGTCCAAGGGGTGGGGAACACGAACGAGCTGTGGGCCTACAACATCGGGGCCGGTTTATGGGACCAGCTGACACCCGCAACACAGGGAAATGATGGCTTGCCGGAGGCCCGCTACGGGCAAATCGCCGTTTGGACAGGAAGCCAAGGTCAGGCGATGATCGTCGCAAGTGGGCGGCGCCAAAGCGCAGTACCCCCGACCCCGCGTTTCTGGCAGTGGTATGAGTTCCCAGATCTCAACGGGACCTGGATCGAGTTCGAGGAGCGACCGGACCCGGACAACGAGGTCTCAGGCAGTGGGGTCTGGGACACTCAGAGCCTGACGATGTACTACGGCTTCCAGAATGGAGCAGCCATCCTTTGGACGCGCTTTCTCGAGTGAGATAGAATGCCATGCAAGGTAGAATGGTGGATGCACGGCCCAAAGCATGTTTTGAGGCTTAAAATTGGCACCAAATGTTGGGGACATAGTCCGAGCACTCGCCTCCGGAAGAGAGCTTCCGGAACGGAAGAGTAGCCGCTGAGACTACAAAATTCCCCAGCGACTACAAAAGAGCCGTTTGCAAGCTCCTAGCAGCGGAGCACGGATGACCAAAAGCCGTCTGCAAGTTCGTAGCCGCGGAGACTTGAGCGTAGGGCACCGTCCGTGAAGAATCGGTGGGCCAGTAGCACGTGCAGCGGAATGAATCACCGTCGCGATGCCTGCGAGGCTGTCTCTGGCTCGGAAAGGGGTCGGGCATGGGGCGCCTGGCATGGCATGTGATTCGAGCATCTCGGATGCACTGCTCCGCGCGTTTCCTCGTTCCCTTTCATGGCAAGTCTTTGGTGTAAACCCAGGCTCCGAACGAGAGCTTCTGCCCCAGAGCAAGAGTCGCCGACAAGATCTTGCGCCTGCACGTCCACGGTGAGCGGAGGACGCGCACGCCGACTTCCTTGCCATGAATCTTTCCAGCCCAGGTCCAGCGAGCACTCCAAGCCACGGAAGGCCAAGGCAGCACACGCAATGTGTGAGCAAGTGACACAGTGGAGATCGCTAATTAGACTAACTTGGTGAGGCGTGTCTGTCAAGCAATGTTCAACAGTCGCGCTACATTCAATGTAGCGATTTGATGTATAATCACCCTTGTGTGGTGCGGCTTTGCATGCTTCTGATCGCTGCAGCCCCGGAATGATGCTGATGTTCGCAGATATCTTTCAGTTTGCCTCAGACCGCGCGCTTCGAGCTCTGAACTCTTATGCGTTGAGGACCTTAAACCCTAAATCCTTTGAGGTCTTTGAGACTTGACATATCTCAGGAATTGCCGTGGACCTGAAGCCAGTTCTCAGCGGCAACAGCGGGGATGTCTAAAGAGGTTTTTGGGTTTAGGGTTTAGGGTGCAGGATTTAGGGTTTAGGGGGTTCCGGGATCAGACGAGCTGGCTTTGAAGGTTGGGTTTACGGTTTAGCGATGAGCCCGCGCACCTACCTAAAGCCGCTTGCAGGCTGTCAGCGCCTTTTCTTGACACCCTGAGCAGGCCCCGCTCTCAAGCTTTTTGGATCGTTCACCAAGCCTTTGGCTGGTTCACCAGCGACCCTGGAGGACGTGGTGCTCTGCAAGGGTTTTCAGGGTTTTAGTGTTTGAAGGTTTGGGGTTTATGACTTTGAAGGGTTTCTGAAAGGTTTCTGTTTAAGCTGTTTCAGGTGAAGGGATTGGGGGTTCAGGCATGTTCCTGGACGTGAGCTTGCGAGGAGACCGTGAGTTCCGTGGCGAAAATCGCAGAAGCTCTGACTCCCTCGGAGCTCCAGCAGCTCCACCAGAGCGCTTTGGTTGCCAAAGCTGACGAAGCTGCGGTCGTCGCCCAGGATATTGACATCGTCCCCTCTTTCCTTGTTGGTTATGTCATGAGCCTTGGTCAGCGTTGAGGGATGATGCTTTGCAAGTCTTTGCTAGTTTCGTTCCTCAGACATACAATTGGCTCTCGCCATTTCCAGGAGGTCCTGAAGAAAGCATCTTTTTGGTTTTCGGGGTTCACTGACACCCAGGAACGTTTGCGTTACGTGCCTTTTCATCGGCCCAAAGGGGCCCGTCGTGCCAAGCAGATGCTTGGATGCAAGTGCAGCTGTGTTGTCTGTGTTGTTTTGCTAAGGCTACCGGTCGTGGGAGTGTGACGTTGTGAAACTAAGACAACGAGCCCGGACACTTCATCCACTGGGTGGCCAGCTGCAGTCAGTGCAACCGCGACTTGTGCCCGGGAGGTCAGCCTTTCAAGCCTTACTACCGGACCAGTACCCCACTATCAGAGTGGGGCTGTGACAAGCTCGATGCCTCACCGCTCACTACCTGGGAAGATGGCCACCTCTTCGTGGTGCAGAAGGCCAAGCTTCACTATGTGGGCACGTGCACGCAGTGCGGCAACCATCTCGATCTCTGCAGCAACCTGTGGAAGAACGAAGCCGGGCTTGAGAATCAAGCGGAGTTTCAAACGGCGTCTGACCTCAACACATGGGGTTGTGCCAATGTTGGCAGCTCGCCCACCATCGTCCGCGACGCAACCACCCACAAGATCTTTGTCGTGGAGTTCTGAGGGCAGGGGTGCAAGTGCCACCCCGGGAAAGCGAGCAGCTTTTGCAACCCTGCATGTTGCGGGGGCTTTTAAGTTCAGATCATCGGGGAGCTTCCATTGCAGAGCACCGCTTTTGGATTTGCTCGACGCTGTTACAGTAACTGCCGTCGCTTGTTTACCGGGGCCGCTAGGGCCAGCATTTAGCAGGGTTGGAGCTCTACCAGCCCATTGCACTCTTGCCCAGAAGCCCTCCGTTTTGCATGCTTTACGCATGGAAGGTCTGGCCTTACTTAGAGGGGACACATGTTGAAGTCGATTTTGTGACAAGCATCACTACCGTTGTTATCTCAGTGTCCTTCGTCATCGTTACTACGAGAGTGGCACATTCAGAGTTTTCCCTGCAAGCTGTTCAGTTAAAAGTTTAGGATGCCGATGTTGACGCGGCTCTAAGAGCCCCGCACATTCTGTCCATCCGATGTCGCGCTGATCAGATCCGCATTCCCGGCAGTGAGGAAAAGAGTGTCGCTTTGTACATCACTTCCATTTATGTGTGTACATTTTGGAATGCATTAGATGAGTTGTGAATGCTTTCGCATGTTTCGATGCATGTGATGTCAAATGAATCCTGGTCTCGAACACAACTCCCCATTCGCACACATTCATTCAGCCGACGCCCGACGACTGTCACGGAAGCGGGCGAGCTTTGTGGTTGCCCGCAGCTTTCTGGCAAGAAGGAAATGTGGGACGATTTTGGTTTAAGAAAGTTGCAAGGGTTGTGATTTCGCAACCGTCAGGACATCGCACGTAGTGCGGCAACGGTCACACCAGAGACGTCGCACGGCCAAAGGGGGCCTGCTCAAGATTGTTTGCTCTGCGACAGGTGTCACAAGTGAAGGCGAGCATCAGCGAGTCCACCGTATAGCTGTTTCACAATGCCTTCTCAGCGAATGGTTTTGGGGATCTACTGTTAAGGTTTCGGCACTACTGTTCCGGCAAAACGTTGAGTGGTCCAAACGTAGTGACCGTCATGGTGATCAATGGGCTTCTGTGTATTCCAAAACCCTGATCTCCTTTGCATGCAAATATGGTGGCCTTGTGTAGACAGACCTTCATGTCACCATGCAGATTGTGAACCTGAAATAATTGTTGTAGGTCCGAAGCACTCAGTTTCACAAGATGATTTATCGCATGAGAGCTTAAGCACATGCGCGTCTTCTCACGTTGGCAGCGAGCTCTTGGAAGACGCAAGGCAAGGACAGGGACCTTTTACTCTAAGTGCGTTGAAAGCAGCATTGCAGCATGATTTTTTGTTCGACAATCTTCAATTTCGCGAAATCGTGCACCAGGTGTTGGCATGGCAGTACAAGCCGTTGACATGCAGAAGATGGACCGGCAGTCAAGCCGGAAGCACAGCGATCCAGAACACAAGTTTCGTGGCGCCAGCCGGTTTCGCCAGATGCTATGTTGACAAAGGTGGCAGTCGGCTCCCCGGATGTTCGCTGGCTAGATGGACCGCCTGCGACCAACAATCGCAAGCCGCGACATGGCCTCCCAAATCTGGTTTGGTGTAGACACTTCGAGGCCCACTGCCACAATATTGGCAGTGGCACTTTGAACAGCTTGGCTTCGTAAGGCAATCTTTTCAGGTGTTTTGCTTTGTAAGCCCTAAACAGCTCGTAACCAAATCTTCAGCACAGCGTTGGCTCGAAAATGTAGCCCGCACCGGACGGGAGTCCCGGCATAAATATATATATATATATAGAAATATATAACTGATACTGGTATGCACGAAAGAAGCTGGCACCCAACCAGGTTTGTACACATGAAGTGTTGGAAAGGCCTGCCGATTCGATCGTTGGTTTTCAGTCACCTGTCAGGGTCCGAATCTCTAGTTGTGTGCTATTTGCTTGTTGAAGCCGGAAGTGCTAGTTCTGCTCGTCTTCGCTCTTGACCTTGTCGTTTCGGCGTCTGATATCCGATAGCGCATGGACAAGACCTTGCTTCAGGGGCTGATCAGGCAGGTGTATCGGCACGATGGGTTCTGAACAAGGATGCGTTTTGTCATGCCTTTTGCAGTGTGACCGGCCAGTTTCAAACGGTTGCGTGCAAGGCCACGATTCGAAAAGATATAAGGCTTTCACAGAGGCAGGGCTCCAACACCTCGAAAAACGGACCATTTCTTTACGCAATGGTTTTAGCACGCCCCATGATATCCGTCACAAAGCACCCGCTTTTGTGGAGAACTCATTTCTGTACTGGCTAGCGGGCCTGGCTGGGAACAGCTCTGAAAGTTGCGACCCAACACGGCATTGTTCTCCAGAGGAATCGCATGAGCCATACTTGTTGAGCCATTCGAATGCACGTGTGATTCTATGTTCAAGTTCCACGTCATACAGTGCCACGTGTATATAGTTTCACTACGGTGTACCTTTGGACTCTGCCTAGGTTGCCGGTGCGGCTTAACACTTTGGAAGGGCCTGCGTCGCAGTTTGTCAAGCTTCAGGCCTTCCGAGAATCAGCAAGGGCGGTGTCAATCAAGACTGGTCAGTCTGCATTCGGAGGCCGCGCTTCGCGAGAGACAGCGGGAGGAAAGAGCGAGCCACGCCTTGGAAGATGTCCACCAACAGCTAGCAAGCGTCGGCATTCTTCAGGCCAAGTTGCAGGATGCCTTGTTCACATAGTGTAGGGCAGGGCTCTGCACTGTGCCTCTGTCGTACACGGTGATGATTCTTGCGAGGCGGATCGGCTGCAAGACAAGATTGGCTCCTACCTTGCCGGTACTGACATCCAGGCAGGGACATGTCGAGTAGGGGATGGTTTCAAGCTTCCTTCAGAAAACACATGTGCAGGTCATAGAAGACTTGGACGAGCACCTGCTCGCCGTGCATGGTATCCTGATGGAGGATCTACCTGCAGAGAGGCTGCAGCAATTTCTGGAAGATCCGTCGATCTTCGACAAAGACTCCGAAACATTGGAAGAGATCCGGAAGCAGCTTTATGGCCGCGGCCGCATGCCCATCCTCACAGCAGAGGCTCAGGCAATTGACATCGCATGTGGATCATCCGAAGCTTCCCAAAATGTCTTTGTCGAGCCCAGTTCAACGAGCGTACAGATCTTTGAAAGTAGGGCCCATGCTTGTTCTTGTTCAAAGAGACTGCACCTGAAGGTGGAAGCTTGTGTTCATCATGAGCTCTCGTGGAGGCGTCGGGAGTTTGCAATCGTATCTTGGGCTACATAATGACGTAATCTGTTTGCCCGCAGGTTTTGGAATTCAGTTTCTGTTTACATACGTTACGTAAATGTATGTGCGTGTGTGTATATATATATATATATATTTATACTTATTATATATATATGTATATGTATGTATGTAGTTATGTATGGGTGTACGTGTTTATGCATGTTTACGTATGTGAGCGTGAGTGTGTGTGTGTGTGTGTGCGGGTGCAACCCGCGTTCCCAAGGAGCATCTCGCGGAAACAGCAGCTCTTCGAGAGTTTCTTGAAGAACAGAAGGTTCACGCAGATGCGGGACGTGGAGCATTGACTGGAGGTACAAAGCGCCTATGGATGCCTTGGGTCGAAGCCATGGCCAACGTCCTCTCAGACCGAGAAGCTGTGCAGCGTACAGGAGCAGGATCGAAGACCTTCATCACTCTGACCAGGTTAGGACTGGAGCCAGAGCTCCTGGCCATCATCACTTGCCAGAACGTCTTGAACTTGCTCATGTTGCCGTGCTTTCGGAACAAGGATGAAATGCAAGAAAATGCTCGCCAGAATCGATTTGGAGAAGTTCCTTTCGCAACAGCGGCTACGAGAGTTGGAGAGGCCCTCCGCTTGGCATTCCAGGGAGTTGCGTTTCGGCCCATCCCGGTTGGCAAGGCTGTTGTTCGATGGTTTCCTATTCTGCCGGGAGCAGGATACGTGGCTGCTGTTGTTGACTGCTGGCGTTCTTGGGTCTAGTAATGCGAAGGTGAGGGGAGATGGTGGTGGCGGATGCATGGTGGTGGATGCATTGGTTGTTGTGCTACTGTCGATGATTGTGCTGATGCTGGTATGCTGATGGTGCTAGTGATAGTCTTCATGAGATAGTCATGCTGTTAAGGAAGCCCCATGGCGATGATGACATGCAATTCGGATCGATCCAAGCCCCGGCCAGTCAGCAGAACCCGGGCTATTGCTTGCCAGCCCAGAATCGAAAGCTGAGCCAAGCCGCAACCTTCCTTCGCACTTCGCACTGTGCACCGGTTCGAGCGCCTCAGCAGCAAAAGCTCTTCGGCCTTTAACTCAACTCGCACACTTGTGGTTGCGGCTTTCGTTGCATCATCCGGCCCGTCAGCACCGGGTGTTGTGGGGACTGACGAAAAGATGCACCGTGCGCAAGCCACCTCAGAGCGTGTTGGCATGATTCTGGATCTTGGTGGGTTTAGATGCGTCTCACCTTGCGGTTTTGGTTGCTGATCTGGTAAGCTCCCTCACCTTACAATATCGAGTTGTTGTTCTGTTAGGACTTGTTGTTGCCCCGTCCTGCTGGCACTGCTTGTCCCCAGCCTCAGCAACTTCCTCCGATGCCATGATTGTGCTTCCTTGGTTGGTTTCGTTGTGGCACCATGGACTGATCGCTTCTTTGTTGTGAGGCCGTTGAAGACGAGCTAATGTGGCAGCGCATTGCCGCCCATGAAAGTGGCCACGGCACCAAGTCTGAAGGAGCTTGCAAGCATCTGAATCTGTTGTCTTGCGGCGTTGGGCATTAGCAACCCTGCAACCAACAGGAGCCATGAAACCGCAGCTGTTGGAAATGCGCAGGCTTAGACAGGCCTAGCCGAAAGACCGTGCCATGACGTTTGTTTTGATTTCGCAGACTGCCGCTGATGCGAGGCATTCCGCGACCGCACTAAGTCGGTGCCTATTGGCGCAGCACTGGTGGACTTGCTGATCGATTGCTCGGCGCTGCGCGTGCCTGCGATGCACATCGACAGCAAGGCCTGTGCGCTTGGGGCAGTTTCCTGAGCACACGTTTCCGAAAGTCGTTGAGGTCGTTGCCGATGGGCCAGCAGCCAAGATTCACGATTGAGACATGCGACAAGTCATGCACTTTGCACACTTCGCAAACTTCGCCACAGCCGTGACCTGCTGTCGGCTGTCAGTCGGCTGTGCCGACGCTCTGGAACGTCCCCAATCTCGCCCTTGGAACTCCTGATTACGGTCCTTAGAATCGTTTCCGGTAGGCACTCTGTGTCTCCATACTAAAGCGCGGCGAAACGTTCGTGTCAATTCGGTGAGTAACTTCTCTTTCCGAGCATGTCGTGATTATGTGTTGCAAGGCGACCCGAACGTCTAGCAGCAGACGATGACTCGCATCGAGAGCGCACAAGTCTGCATCTGACTGAGGCTGCTGCCGGACGTAGCGCCAAGGCTCGGCCGGCCACAGCGAAGCGTTGCTTGCCGTGTTGAAAAGCTGTGGGCCTCCGTCGCAGGGAGGAGCTTCTGGAGAAGGCCTTCTAGGATGGCAGTGTGAATGCCGTGAATGTCGCTTTTTTTGGATGGCAAGGCCTTGGTATATGGCAAGCGATGGGAAACGCGCAGAAAGGCTGTGCACTCAAGCTGTAGATGTCATGAGCTCCGGGTCGCACCACTATGTCGGATGTTGCTACAGATCTACTGACTCAGGTCGTGGGATATCTGTCGCTACACCCACTGGCCCGGGCGAAAATGGAGTCGGAGGACAGTCTGCGGTCTTCGCTCACATAGGTCTGGCTTTGTATAAGCACTACTGGGCAGGGTGACATGCTACATTTCATCAAGCCGAAGATGCAGCCGATGGTAATTCCTCCGTTGCCTTGGCAGCCATGTGGAGACTCTCCTCAAGGTTCGCTGCCTGCCGAAACCACTGTCGATGCAAGCTTACCAACAGTATCCAGGTCCCTACATCTTACACAAGTCGGCTTTCGTGCGAACTACCTCCGAGCAGATGACGCAGCTCAGATCCTACAGTGCGTCGCGCAGCGCCGCAACTATGGACTTCTCTGCCCATGCATTGCAGACAGTATTCTGCACTTCAAAACGTTGACGCAGATACACGCTTTCCAGGACTTCCTGGGAAGAGTACCTTGGAGAATCAATGGACGCATACTCGCCTTGATCAGGGAGGCCCAGCAGCGCGACTTGGCCATTGCAGGAATCCCTCCCAACGCGGACCCACCAGCCAGAGCCTTAGTTCTGCTGTCACTCCAGTCGAAACACAGCGTCTTAGGATCGAGAAGAGAGTGCAGAACAGCGAGCTACGACGGATGTAAACCCAGCCCAAAAGAGTTTGAGTAGCAGGCAATTGGATGGAAATTATGTGGTACTAGCCCCTGCCCTAAACTCTAGAGCAGCCCTAGGAACGATGGGCAGCAAGGTACCTGAATTCGCGGGAAAGATAGGGGAAGGAAGCTTCAGCCACCAGCAACGAGGGGTTCGCAAAGCCTAAACCGAAAAGGAGCGCTTGTCGATCATTTCCCGAGCCCGAAAGCAACCAACGCCCGGTGATCCCACGCCGACTGGCAACACCTTAGCCGATGTCTGCCCCAGAAGCGATGCGAAGTAGCAAGGTAGAACAGGGCGATAAGTATCTGTGAGCCTTCTTATTTTTGGTGAATCTTGTGCTGCACCGTTTGTTCCGAGATTGGGGTGTTGTCACCCGTCGTGAAGTTTATCTCAGGGTTTCGGGTTTGTCTTTGGGTTCAGGGTTTCCTGCCAATCGCTTCGCTTCTGGTTCAGGGTTCGCTGCCCTGCTTTTGATGTTTAGAAGTTTAGGACTCGCTGTCTATCGGATGATCGTTTTACTTCGTTGAAGGTTTGCTATCTGCCGTTTCTTGCTCAGGGTCTGCGCCATACTATTACCTCGTTTTTTCTCGGTTCAGGATTTGATACCATCGCTGTGTGACGTTCGGTGCTTGCTTCGCATCACTCCTTTCACGGTTTAGGGCAAGCGTACCAGAGGTTTGAGGTACGCCGCCCATCGGTTCTTGAGGGTTTAGGTTTTGCTGCGTGTTGCTTCTTTCGGGTTACGTTTGCTCTTGGATTCAGGGCTTGCCGCCCAGTCTATTTCATGCGCATTTCAAGGTTAGTGCTTGCAGGTGATGGCTTTTTTGTTTAGGGCTAAGTGCTGGCAGCCCCTCGAGGATTCGCTGCTAATTTGTTGTGAGTTGTGCCACCCACTGTTTCTTTCGAAGTTCGGGGTCTCAACCCAGTCTTTTCTTTAGGGCTTAGGGCGTTTACGCTGCGTTTTCCGGTGCAGATTTGCTGCGCAGCTTCTGCTGAGTTCGTGTCATTGAGGTGTAAGGTGTGCTGCGCATCATTCGCTTTAGGGCTTAGGGCATGCATGGGCATGCAATTTTTCGGTGTCTAGTTTTTGCGTAGTGGTTTCTTTTTCGTTTAGGGTTTGCGGCTCATCTCATGTTCTTGGACTTGATGTCTGCCGCTCAATGTTTCATTTTATGTTTTTTCAGGTTTATTTTTAGGGTTTAGGGCTTGCGGGTGATGGCTGCCGGTTTTGTTGTGAGTTGTGCCATTTCGCAGTTCAGGGTCTTCCATGCATCGTTTCTTAGATGTAAGGTTTGCAGCCAGTTGTCTTCTTTAATGCCTAGGATTTTCACTCCGGCGGTGTTTTGGTTTCCGGTGCGGAGTTTGCTGCGCAGCTGATTCTCAGTTCGTGTCACTGACGTATAATATTTTTGTCAGAAAGCGTCACCCTCAGGGCCCGGTTTTGTCGTATTCTTACAGAATCGAATTTTCAGTGTTGTCTTAAAAAATTATCACAATTAAAATGAACGGCTCCGAACTTTTGAAAGGGTGTGTTGAAGGTCAGGACAGACAATTTGTTTGGGTTTAGTTTGCTCCCTGTCGTTTCTTCTTGGCATTGCGTGTTTAAGACATGGTCTTCATCCTATGATGTTCGTTTTAGAGTTTATAGTTTTTTGCCCAGTGTTATTTCTTTAAAGTTTTAGGGTTTGCTTTGCATCACTCCTTCTGACGATGTGGTCCGCAGTATTCGAGGTTTGTCATCGTTTGTTTTTGGGTGCCCGGGTTGACCGCAAATGGTTTCAAATTTGCGGTCTGCTATATACCCGTTGTTTTTGCCGGGGTGTAGGGTTGCTTGTCCACGGTGTCGTCAAAGTCAAGAGTCGGTTTCACTCTTGCCACTGCTCCGAGTGTGTTTACTGTTAGCTTGATTTTGACGCAGCGTTTCGCGGATGAAGGCACGTGGCCCGTGAATTCTGTCGGGACTTAAGAAGAGTTTATTTTCCCTTAAGAAGGGTCTACTTTCCCATCACGTCTCTCGGGTGTTCAGGCTTATAAACTGGAGTTGGTGCTCCCTTTTGCCTTGGATTCAGTGTTAAGTGCTTGCTGTTTGGCCCTCCTTGTGGTTTGCCAGTTTGTCACCTTTGCTCGGTGTTTGATCTCGGTCTGGTCGTTCCGGACTAGGTTCCATCTCAAAGTATTGAGTCGATCCCTGTTCGCACATTCAGGAGAACAGTGATGCTCCGTCAACCGAAGCATTCCTCGTTCGTTCAAGGAAGACAACAAAGCGAAGGTGCAACATAGGATGTGGCTGACCGCGTCATAGAAAATAGTTCGCGCCGAAGCAAATGATTTTGCGAGAGTAACTGAGGTTTGTTTCTCGCAGTTGCAAAACTGCGAGCTGTCAAAACCAGACAGGTTGCACTCGTTGCCACAGATTGCGTAAGTCTAGGTCGTCGCTCGCAGCATGTGTCCAAAAGAAGTGAGAAACGCAAAAGGAATCCCCGGTGCTGTCGCTTTCAAAGCATCAGTTTGAAGGAATTCGCCAGGGTTGGCTTCCAACTCACGAAGCAAAGCACCTGCATAATAGAAAGTGAAGGCCACCTTCTCGCGTGCATGGCACAAGTGCAAGTATAAAGCTGCATGAATGAAGCATATCGCTTTGGGACCAACAATCGGTGAGATTCGATCCGAAGATCGAAACTAGCCTACAGGAGCATCGGCCGGAAGTTTGACTTTTTCGTAAGTTTTGAGTGGCCTCTCCGATGCAAACTGCCGGGGAGCTCCAACGAAGTGACATGGGTGGTTCCTCCACACAGTAAGTGTCTTCCTATGGGTAAAGTAGGATACAGCCTGGGACATCCACCGATGCAAGTTTGAAGCTGAGGAAAGCTTGAGGCGATCCCGGTACCGTTTCTGACGAAGCTTGCTTCCCCGCGATGCTTCGGTACACTCCAAAGTCATGCCCAGACATAAAGCTAAGCAGAGAGCTGCTTCTGTTTCACGAGCCCCCATATCAAACACCTGCCCGTGTCAAGAAGTTTGGACACTGCATTCATCTGGATGGGATTTAGCCGGCCCCAGGTTTCCAACAAGCCATGGCAGTCTAAGGTCCCACCTGTTCCAGATCAAAGCGACCCGGACTATCAGGTTCTGCGTCTCAGGCTAGTGGCAGACTCTTGCGAGTTCATTGAGAGATGTTTACCTCAGATGTGTCGCGGTGACAGGCGTCTCAATGCCGAAAAGCGATGCCGCGAACTCCGATCGGAGCCCCGTTGACCACTTCGGTTTGTACACATCCTACAAATCTTGCTCTTGGTCGTGGTGTAGCGCTGTGGAAACATCCTCTGACCGCCACGAAGGGACTTTCAGGACTCATATGTCGTATGCTGTCCAGCACTTGAATGAGAAAGGAGAAGGGAGTTCGTTGGCTTGTTGACCGTGTGCATTCTTCGGAAGCCTTTGCATCGAAGGAGAGGCCAACGTTCGAGTTAAAGCTGCGGAGTGCAGAAGATTTCGTCAACGCGGAGAAGCTCTACTTTCCACACAACGTGGACTTTCGAGGGCGCTGCTATCCTCTGCCGTTTCCTGCTCAGTTGACAGTAGTCGATAGTTTTGCGAGCAGGGGTTTGGAAGTTCGGGCCGGAACTGAGGCCGCACCTGAATCACATGGGGGACGATGTCAGCCGCGCATTGCTGATGTTCTCGGATTCCAAGCCTTTGGGGAGCGAAGGTCTTTTCTGGTCGAAGGTAGGCATAGCCAACCTGCATGGCAAGAACAAGATCTCGCTCGAAGACCGGGTGAGATGGGTTGACAACCGCAAAGACATCATCATGCAGGCCTGGTTTCTTTCTGGAGTGTAGAGGAGGAGGAGTCGTTTGGATCCTTCGGCCAGGTTGCCGAAAATCCGTTGAGCCCAGAAAGCATCGAGCACTGGGCTGATGCAGATGATGGGTCGTGGTCCAAGGCATTCTTCTTGGCAGACTCGAGCTCTCCCGTTACGAACTTGAGGCCGTGGCAGGTTCTGGCTCGCTACTTGGAGCTCGCCGAAGTCTACAGACGGCCAGGGTCTGAAGAGGCACTGGGCCCGGGATCGCTCTGCCAGCTGTCGAAGTAAATACTCGTAAGCACAACGTCCACGAGCCAGGAGTTCAGAAGCCACCTGCCAGTGCACGTCGACGGGTCCTGCAACGGTCTTCAGTAGATGTCTCAGAGAGGACATGGCTAAGCATTGCTGGACAGCAGTTGTGGCCATCCTCCCTTGCTAGCTGTGGCTGGCACAGTCGCAATGGGCTGTGCGATGCTGCTGATCGCCCGAGGCACTATGCAGCATTGGGGCGTGATCTCGCAGGTGGGGAGGCCGGCTTGGATGCGGGGCAGCATGGGGCAGCCATGTACAGCTGGAACTTAAATCGTGACTAGCGGCAGCGGAGATCCAAAGCCAATTCGAGTGCACAATTCAGATCAGTCCGGGAGGATGCTAAAAAGCTGTCATGGTTTCGTGGCAACTGAGGCTGTGAACTTGACGCCAAACGACAAGCCCCAGGACGTGTACACAGTTGTGTTGAAGATTGTCATAGACAAGGTCTGCTGCCTGATTAACCACTGCGCTGTGGAAACCCTCTGCACTCCCGATTGCTTTGCCTTTTCCAATGCATCAACCTGCAATGCAAAGTCCTACGAGGTCAACGCCGATGCTGCATTGCCCGTCCATGTCCAGACAGCTTGGCCCTCAGTCTGCATTTCTTTTGGCTTTGTTTCGGTCGTGCAGCCTGCTCAGCTGCAGGAAGCCGAAGAAGGCCGTCCTCTGAGCCACGACAAGGGACGCCTTGCTCGAAGGCTTCTGGAACTCGGCATACTGCAGCGCAAGGCGGGAAGGACCTGGACCATCGGTACCTGGTAACAGCGCGTTGCGCAGGTTGTGAAGCAAACCATCATGACCATCTGCTACGGTGTCACGGCTGTGCGCCCGGGCATGCTTAGCGCCCTAGTTCAGGGAGAACAGTTTAGAGCTTCCCTGCCCTGCTGCTGCTGCTGCTGCCGCTGTGGCTGCCGCTGCTCCCTTAGGCGCCGGAAATCGAAAAGGGATTCGGAGCCTTTCTGGAACCAATCAGGCAACATGTTCAGCACTTGTTAGCTTTGTGTAACCGTCGCCATCGGTTGCCCGAAGCTTGCTAATTGTGTTTTCCGCACTTTGTTAAATGTTGCATACTTTGTTTCTTGTGAATCGAGCTTTCTTTGTTCGCTTGTGTGGGGCTGTCTGTTCGAGCATCCGTTCCTCCACCTTACCTAACTTCGGTTGGGCTGCTTGTGGACCTGCGGGCCGCCTGCTGCTTTGGGGCTCTGAAGTTACGTCGTTCGTGGATGGAGAGCCTACGGCTGTATTTAGAACTTCGAGAGGGCTTGAAGCAAGGAGGAGCAGCACCCGGGAACGAACTGAAGGGGTCCCTGAGACCCTTGAAGCTCGGACCGAAATATTTGCTCAGCAGATACCAGGGAGTCCAGGGGTTGGGGTCCGAGAGGAATCATCCTGAGATGGTATGATATGAGCGCTTGGGCGAGCCTGTAGCTGTAGCTGCAAAACGAAGCCCTCAGCCGTATGTGAGCTTCATGCAAGTCGAAATTCTCCCCGGTACCGATGTCAAATGCACGGCCAAGCGAAGCCCCGAGCTTGCCGCAGAAGATGAGGACATGCATCAAGCCCCTTCCGGAACGAGAAATTTGCGTGATCGTTTGACTTGTGCTCAAGGCTGTAGGGGTGGACATGCTATATAGCCAAAAGTAAGTATCGGAGGGTTTAGCCTACAAAAAGCATGTCCGGAAGCACACTCATATGCCGAGGAGAGGCGCTGTGGCGCCAAGCGGCACAAAACCAGCAGTCAGCACTATATCATTTCGAGATGATTAGTGGGAGCTCTAGTGTAAGCTCGACTTCACCAATCCCAGGATAGACGGTATTCGTCTGTAGTCCTCGCCATGTCAACCATAGATGATGCCGCTGGGCTGCTGCGGGATGCGGAGTGGCACATAGATGAAGAGGTGCAAAGTCTGTCTAAGCAGAAAGCTGTGACGTCGTTGGTCCTGTACTGAATGCAGGAGAGCCAGCTGGCAGAGCAGAAGGCGCAGAAGGCGTTAAGCACCCTCCGAGAAAACTCCCAGGATTCACCAGGCGCCTGCGACAAAATTGTCTCAAGTTGTGGTGAAAGCTGGGTAAGCTGTCAAGGTCCTGCAGATGCTGTCCGGATGCTGGCCTTGGCTTGTCCGCGGCCTAGTGCGGCCGTAGTCAGAGCCACTTGCAGATGGCGCTGAAGTGTTTCTAGTCTTCGAAGAATCGTGGCCAGTTTCCTGATATAATTACATTATCTCGTCGTCTTCGCTCATCGGAATCATCATCAAATCATCCTCTGCATCAGAACTCATTAGTTTGTTGTAGTTTTCTTTTAATCGTTTTGGGGACGGTTGGCGCCCTTTCCGCGGCCCTTTTGCGCCAAACGATGAAACAACAATGAAACATGATAAACAGCTTCCAAGGCTCCCCGAAGGCCTTCCTGATTTTGCGAACATCGAAGGAGTCCCACGCGGCCTTTCCCCGGCTCTTGTCCGCCAAAAGATGAGCAGATGAAAAATGGTAAATTACATGAGAACAAAGTTATACTAAAATGATAATTAAAACTGTAAGATATGAAAATGGCAATGATGATGAAACGATGAGTTGATGACGATCAGAAGGATGTTTTTCGAGATATTGATTCACGCAGGCCATGCCAGTCTATTCACGCAAGACTCGTAATTCTAGTTGAATCCGGGCTGTGCACTTCAAGTATCTGCTGACACTTTGGTGGCACGTCGTGAACGGGAAAAGCATTCCTTATCCATAATATGAATATTTGAAGATGTGGGTGAGGTTCAGCCAGAGGCGACCGCAAAGCTGGCCTCGGTTTGTTGGCACAAGAGCTTTCTCGAGATGGTTGCAGCCATCGGCAGAGAGTGCATCGGCTGCGAAGTCAGATGGGATTTCAGTTTGAGTTGAGCGTGGTGGCATTCTTTCCATTGTGAGGCTGTTCTGCGTTTGGCCTTCGCGGAGATTGCCAATTCACGTTGTGGCAGCAAGCGCCGAGAAGAGGCGCTGGAGGCAGCTCTGGAGGCTGTGAAGACCTTCAGAGAGCTGGGAGAGCCGCGGCTCGAGGCGGGGGAGCGCATTAGATCGGCAGAGCAAGCATGTATGGCAATCAAGATGCGCAGCAGCTGTGTTGCGCTCTGGCAGGGATGGGCATTGATTGCATTAGCTCACACCCATGTCCAGAAAGGCAGGGCGCAAGTGTCTGTCCTTGGAGCACGGTAACGGACTAGCATGATTCCGCTCGCACAGGCACGAAAAGCGAAGTGCCTGAAGAGTTAACGAAAGCTCTGGAAGCAGCGGCGCAAGCGCAAGTTGTTCTCCGAGAGGTTGGTGACAGAGTAGGCTGGGGCTTCAAAAGCAATCGCTGCTTTCTTCAGCATATGTAAAAGACTGAGAAGACCATTGTTGCCTCTCAGGTGAAGGAAAGGCCATGCACACCACAGCCGTCGCTTGAGCGATTAGTCTCAGCTTTTTTTTTGTTGCATTATTGTAGTGGATCTAAACAGAACCCTTGCTCGTCCGATCTACTTGATACCCAATAACGCCACAGGAGGCTCCTAAGGCAGGACGAGATTCATGGCTTGTTGTGAACTTGTTTCAATTTTCTGTTGCATCTCATCGCATCTCGTGGGTTTGCGAGTGGTGATTTGCAGGGCATGTGGGCGCGAACCACTCCCGCAAACAAGCCAGCAGGGTTGTAGAAGGTGCTGGACCCGTGCTTGATCTGATAGGGTTCGAAGAAGGTGAACAAATTGAAGCCACCTTGCCCACCTGGGCCCCAAAGACCATGTGCTGACGGCTGAGCAATCTTTACATGCCACCTCTTTGTAGAAGGCGAGCTAAGGCAGCTAAGAGTGGAACAAGTGCTCCGGCATGTACTGTTCAGTTTGTGTCCTGGCGTTGACTGCGCCAGGTCGCCCTTTCCTTTCAGAACAACATTGACGAGGCAGTTGCCAGATCTAGAGAGCTGGTGTCATACTGGCGTGACCTTGGCTACACGCGCCTGGAGGCTGGGTGCCAGTCAGGGATGCTAGCTGGAAGGGTCTTCTGTTGGTATGGGCAGAAGAGCATCATGTTGCACAGTCGTGGTCGCAGGCATTCCAGCAGGAGTGTGTGAGTGAGTGGGAGCTGGTGCGTCACAGGCCGGAGGAGGCAGGTGACAAGCAAGTGTAGCCATGACTTCCTAGTATGCAGTTAGCTGTTCGGTCATGTGACGGGGCACGGCAGCTGGCATCATTGTCAGGCACTCGAAGCCGCTCAAGCTGCCCTAGAGCAAAAAATGCAGAGGGAAGCCCAGCGACAAGCCCAAGTGGACCCCGTTCCTGCCAGATCTGCAGCAGCGCTTATCCATGCCTCAAATGCATACCTTACGATGGGAAAGACTGATGAAGCCCTAAAGCTGTCTCAAGAGCGACTGGAGACATTTCGACGGAACAGAGATTTCGAGAGCGAGATCGTCGCGCAGTCCTCCATCGTCTCTGTGTACGTGAACTCTGGGCGATTGCGGCAAGCTGCGGAGGTGGCTGAGGAGACGCTGCGCAAAGTCCAAAGTCGACCGTCTTCCAGGCTCTTGAAATGCTGGGAGATCGATTTGCTGCAGACGCTGGCCAAGATCTACCTGAGGGCAGAGGATGTGGAGAACACAGAAAAGATCGTCGACCAGACGATTGCAGTTGCCAGCGAGCAGAAGGACACAACAAAGCTAAGCTTCTTCATAATTGAGTCGCTTCGTCGCTACTCGCAGCTGCTCTCGCAGCTGCTTCCGTGCAGGACCGGAAGTCCCTGGCCGCGGCCTACTTGCTTCAGAGCGAGCTGGCCCTGCTGAGAAAGGAAAACCGCCTTGGACTGAAAGCGGCGATGAGATCCCGGGACTTGTCCAGGAAGACGCAAACCAAGAAAGGAGAGGCAAGGCAAGTTCTGCCGTCTTTGCCCCTCCCGCTACTGTACTGCCCGTCTTCCGCTTGATCCGAGAGAGAGAGAGAGAGAGCACAAGAGAGAGAGAGGTTGTGAGGGGGGAAACCCCGTCACCATAACCCTGGCGAAAGAAAGACAGAGGTTGTTTTGTGTTGTGTTGCCTTGACTGACTTCAGGCCTCTGCCCTGCTGCAGCTCTGCTCTGCCTACTGTGCCCGAGGCGAGCTCAAGCGAGGCCACGCTTTTGCCGCGCTAGCTGGTTGCGCTTGCTGAGCTCTGCTCTGATCTGTTCTGGGCTTCCTGTTGTGAGTCTCGAGGTGCGGCAGTGACCGTAGAGTCGCAGCGAATCTTCAACTCCGTGGGCGACCGCGAAGGTGAGGCAGATGCACTGCGAATGCAGGCCGTGGTACTCTGTGTTGGCTGCAAGAGGTTGGGCAGATGAAAGCCTGAGCATCGTGCGAGGCAGAAGTTCGCCTTGATTTGAATGACTTTCCCCGCGCCATTGCAGCCGCCAGAAGGCACGCGAAAGTATTTTCGGAGCATAGAGACCTTTCGACGATGCAACACCACGCTGCCGTGATTCCCTGAGGTGTCGGGAACTGCAGCGAGAGATGGGTGACCGGAAAAGTGAAGCATGGGCATGTGTACAACTGGCGCAGACCCTCCTGTCAGCTGCATCAGACGAAGAGAAGCAGGAGTTAGATCTTCGAGCAAAGGCAAAAGAAGAAAAGGCATCCCCGCATTTTACCACTTGGATGTCTTCAGTCCATTGTGCACATCTCGGCTGTTTAAATGGGAGGCCCGAAGTGAAGGAAAGGTGCTGGAATCTGTGCGGCTCCCAAAAGATCACGACTGCCATGACAACTGGATGTGCAGAAAGCGATGCTCATGTATGCATGTTCCGAGTGATTCGGGATAGTCGGAAGATTTTGTGCAAGCTTGCAGACGAGTTCATTCGAGGCTGATGGGACTGGCACCAGACAGGATTGGTTTCAAGGAGACGACGAGGACATGACATCGTTCGCTACTAGACAATTTTCCCGGTCTGTGAAGGTCGTGTCATCTGGCAACAGGTAGTGCGTAAACCCAAGCGATCTCGACAAAGCCAGATCAGGGAGCCCAGTGCCGGTGCTCAGTTCGTTCTGCTCCTGCAGAATGATCCTTCGGGACAGCTTGAAAACGGATGTCGTGTTTCTGCGTGCGAGTTGTGCGTGGACACGCCAGAACCAGAAACAAAAGCCGACCTCCAGCTTTGACACGTCCAGCCGCAACCGGCCAGTCCTCGGCTGTGAATATCCCGGGAGCACCCTGAAATAGATCTCGGGTGTAGTGCACTTGAGCCTTGGGGAGTTGGTGGCTGTCCGGCGGATATTCTGCAGGTCTCTGTTGGCTTGATGCTTGCTCGGCTTAAGGGCTGTTTCCGCGCAAGGCTGGCGGGGTGCTGATTCAAGTTATGACAACCACTTTTCGGCTTTGGCATGGTAGTGGCGACGACCTTTGTGAGATGATTTTTCTAGTGGCTCCACGTAATCTCGCTGGTTGTCTGGCATAGTGGCCATTTCCTTGCCACATTTTGATGAATTTGCTTCCTTCTGTGGTCTTCTTGTCTTGTTCATGCAGAGTGTGAGACCGGCGGGTGGTCTGAAACAGCCATCGCTGCTTTTGCTTGCCTGCTTTGCATCCTTGAGCAGTCCTGTCCTTCTGCCGGAGCAAAACAGGGCCAACCAAACAGGCTTCAAAACGAGCGGTCTGGTCTGCAGGGTGCGCCCGTATGTGCCCGTGCAAGGACGACAACCAGGAGAGACCAGCCAAAGCAGCTTTCGAACGGGCTCTTCAAGCTGCCAAGGATGCTCTTCAACTGTCGCGACCGCAAGAGGACACTCAAGGGGTTCAGTGCACTTCCTACAGATTCCTGCAGCAGAAGGTGTCCGCTGGCAGTTGTGACACGGTGGTTTCGTTCTCTCTGCTATCAGCACTAGTGATCGCATCTCCCTTGCAGCCGAAAAGCCAGGGCTGTCTGAGCAGGACGAGCAGCTGCTGTCGCGAGCGCTGCTACCTGGCTTTTGGCCACTGCTTCATGGTCAGGTGTGTCCCAGGCGCTTTTGCTCCTTTCACTGCACATGGTCTGCATTCTCCGAGGTTGTCGCTTGCCACGGCTCAGATGATGTGCTTAGAAGCAGACGCAGCAGCGAAGTCCATCGAAGAGGGGCTTCCGGTGGCACAGATGCCTGCCTGCATGTTGCCTTACCTTGCATCATATCACTTGGTTGTGCTGCATGTATCCTTCAGCCCCAAGGGATTTAGAGATCAGCACAAGATGGGGTGCCTATAAGGACCGTTGCCGACGCCTCTGCCGAAGCGCACTTCCTCCTCGTGAAATCGCAGCTCGCCGAGTTCAATGGTGCCAAGTCTCATCCCGAGGCAGGACTCCGGGGATGGGGCCTTAATAGTTCGAACAGGGTTTCGGGGGATTTTATACTACAATCGTAAGAAGCAACCACCAAAATAGTGTTGATGCTCAAAAGCGGGTCCAAGCCTCGGGGGCTGTTCTCAGGCAAAGCAGCTGGCCAACGAGGCTCTGCAGCTCTTCACGACGCAGAGAGACGAATCTGGGGAAGCTGCGGCACAAGCAATCCTGAAGCGACTCACGCCGAAGACAATCGGTGTGAGACCCACAGATACGGGCGGACCGCGCTACTATGCTGCTGAGGGTGATGACGAGATGGAGGAATATTGGGAAGAGGAGGTGATCGAGGAAGGTGGTGGCGGTGGTGGTCCTGTGGAGATTCAACCCTACAGTGGGCCCAACTCGAGCGAAATTGTGGCTACTGTCAGTGATGTGGCACTAAGTCTGATAGGTGTCGAGACTCTCGATGCAGACGAACCGCTTATGGATGCAGGCCTTGACAGCTTAGCTGCCGTGGAGTTTGGCAACACACTAGCCAAAGAGTTCTCCGGTGTGGCCTTGCCATCGACTCTTATGTTCGATTTTCCTTCCGTCAAACTGCTCTCGGGCTTCATTGATGCTAGCATGCGTGAAGCGCACGACAAGAGTGAGGCCCAGCGGGCGCAGAGCGCTGCAGCAGGAGGAGGAGGGGGAGGCGGGCAGAGGAGGACACGGATGGTCAAAAAGTTTCGACCGAAGCCTGGTGGTGCCCGCCGCAAGCCAATGTCCTTCAATCAACAGGCGATGCCTGTGCAGATGGTCCCTTCCATTCCACAGGCAGGCCAAGCAGGCCAAGCAGTCTCCCAGGCCGCGGAGGTGGGACCCTACAAAGGCGGGCCTGTGCAAATTATCCTAAGCTTGTGTTTAGGGTTTAGGGCATTTTCTACAGGTTTGCAGAGGTTTGCATGCAGCGGGGCCGGAAGCCCTTCTTTGTGAAGGTCCCACGCTGGCGGAGATTGAAGAAGTTGTCAAAGACACTGCTTTGTCTCTCATCGGAGTTGAGTCATTGGATAACGACGAGCCGCTGATGGATGCAGGTCTAGACAGCCTGGCTGCAGTGGAATTTGGTAATGCAATTCAGAAGGATTTTGCTGGCTTAACCATGCCGAATACGCTCATGTTCGACTATCCCTCCGTTAAGCGATTGACGGAGTTCATCAATGAAGGGTTGATCGAAGCGCACGGGAAGTGAAAGAGCAGACTTGTGGCCTCAGTGATCCTTGGGTCAACCTTCGTCTTCCACCACGCTCCATCTTCCGTCCGAGGGTGCACGAAGCTTCGTGTCAAGCCAGCGGGCTGATGGCAAAAGGGAAATCGGAAGCCATTTTGGCTCAAGCATACACCACGCAACAGCAGCTAGCTTTTCTAAAAACTTTAGCTTCAGCTTTCCTCTTTTCAGCTTGCTTCTGATCATGCTTTTAGCTGTCAGGACTACTTTTCAGCAGCTTTAAGCTAAGTACGTTCAGCCAGCCCTGTGCATGGATAGCCAGCCGGCCGCTTCTCGCCCCCAGCTGCAGCTACAACTGACTACAGAGGTCAGATCACTGATCGATAGGCTTATTGACTTGGAGGCTGCGGGGGCTGCTCAGCGAGCGGAAATTTCCCGCTTGCACTGCAGGGTCAACCGGCTGGAGGCCCAGGTACATCAAGGCCGCAACTGGCTCCTGCACCTAGCAGACAGGGCCACTTCCTTGGAGGAGGTCACACAGAAGCTTTCTATCAGGTTGCGAGCCCTGGTTACCCTGCTTCGTGAAACGCTTTCTGAGACTGTTGCCCGTCTTCGGATCTGGTTCTAAGTATGGCCTCTTCTGACATGGTCGGTGGTGATGCACCTGCTTTGCCGTCTAGCAGGGTGGCTACGGATATACTTTTGGCCGATTCTTCGCCTTTCTGCACTGATGCTGACGCTTTGGAACTCAGGGCCTCTTTTCGTAATCGCTTTGCTGATTTTGCGGACCCGGAGGACCCTACTCAAGTACCCTCAGCTTCGGTACCCACTTTTGAGGTTGCTGAGTCAGATGCAGAGGAAGCTTTCGAACCCAGGAGTAAGCTTCGACGCCGCTGGCTTCACCAAGCACATTGTGCCCCGGTGACTCCTCCCTTACCTATGGAAAACAGCCCAGGTGCATCCAGCGGTGATCAATCCTGGCATCTTATAGAGCAAACCCAGCCGGTGCCCGAGAATGCATCCTTTCAGGAGGGGTCTTCAGCAACTTCGACATTTCTGCTTATGCCATTGCAATCCACCCCTCCTCGACCCAGCTTGCCTGCTACTCCGAAGGCACCCACTTGGCGAGCTCCCAGGGTGTGCTTGCGATACAACTCCCCTTTTCAGGTGGGGCACAACGGGCGCCAGCCTACAGTTGCTCGGCTCCGCCCCTGCGCTCCCTTCCCCACTCCGCGGCAAGCCCCTAAAGCCGCGCCTGTGCAGCAGTCTACATCCCAGATCTTCCCGACGGCGAAGGCACTGCCGCACTTTCAGGACGCTTCGGCTTACGCGGTCTACCCCATGCAGCAGCCTTCTCCTGTTCAGGTATCGCTTTCGCTGGCAACGCCGAGACCAGTTCAGCCCTCAACAACAGCTTTGCGAGCACCTTCAGAGTTACACCCGCCTGCTTTTCGCGAGCCAATCGCCGGCTTGGTCACCAGCAAGGATAACCATCAGGCGTGCGATGAACGCAACAAGGTACTTTTTGACCAGCTTTGTGCATCGCATGGCGCCTACAGCGAGGTGCTGCAACAGCTTTCAGGGAGTCGCGAGGGAGCAGTGATCAAGTCTCGGCTTCTCAGCAAGGTGAGTGACACCACGGCGGCCCGCTACCTTCGTTCAGTCCAGCTTTTCTTTTGTGCCTTTGAAGAGCTGGGTGGCAACATGGAGTCTATCGACCAAGGTCTATTCCTTGATGCTTTCTTCGCTTTATCTCGAGGCTCCGAAACAGGCCCACTTTCCAACAGCATCAATGTGCTCAAGGCGCTGCGCTGGTACAAGAAGCTTCTTTCACTTGCATGCCTCCCAGACCTGTACGGCACCGCTTTCAGTCTCCTCTCCAATCCGTCTGGCCAGGAGAAACGAGAGAGCATACCACTGCCGCTTTCTTTTGTGGCCTTCCTTGAGCGCACCCTGCTTTCAGGCACAGCCAGCTTGATGGACACCATCTGGGCGGGGTCGTTCTTGGTGGCAATCGGTGCTAGCCTCCGCTTCGCGGACGCCCAGCATGTCCGCTGGAGCTCACTTTGTGTGAGCCATTTCACTTTACGAGGAATATGCTACAGGACCAAGACCACCAAAGGCGGATGCCCCTTTGGTCTCCTCAGCTTTGGCCCCTTTTCGTCATCTGAGGAATGGGGGCTGACTTGGCTCCCCCGCTGGTTGGGAGCATTAGACAGGGTTTGGTCCGACCTCCGCTCTCGCTTTGGGGCCCAGCCTGAGCCAGATTGCATGTTTTTCCTCTTAAGTGATGCAGGCTTTGCTCCGGCCACTTATTCACAGGCCCTTCAGAAGTTGCGCTACTGGCTGACGCTTTCAGGGATAGAGCCGCATCAAGCTTCTCAATATACGCTTCACAGTTTGAAGACGACCTTCCTTTCGTGGATGTCTCAGCTTTCTATCCCACTGGCGTCCCGCTTTCTCCAGGGACATCATAAAACCCCTGGCTCTGCCCAGCTGTACTCCCGGGACGACGTATGGCCAGCCCTAAGAGCGCAGCTTCTTTTGTGGCGGTCGATCCACTCCGGCTTCCGTCCTGCCAGGCCGCAACACCGAGGGGGACAATCACCGCTTGCCGAGCCCCCCTTCGAGACGGCGGGGTTCCAATGGGACGCCTTCATCCCGGAACTTACATGTTTCTCGCTTGGCAGTGACTTCCAATCATTCCTGGCCCTGGAACAACAGGACGGCGAACTCCGCGAAGCCCGAGAGTCATGCTCAACGATTACACGGTCAGGCCCCAAACTTCCCTCTTGTGTTCGCGCCCGGGCGCAGGTCGACCACTTCGAGGACTCAGATGCCGATGATGCAGGCCCGGCTCGCCCTTCAGCGATGGTCGCATCCACTTTGGAGGTCGACCCCACATGGCAAGATGAAACAAGTGAGGGGCTTAGTGTGTCACATGAGGAGCAGCCGCTTGAAGCTCCATCTTTTCAAACTTCCCGCACAAACTGCAGGGAGGTGCGGTATCTGCTAGGAGCATCCGGGGTGGCCCACCTCAGCATCTCCCACCCCAGCTCCCGTATGACCTGCTTGGCGTGCAAGGATGCCCAATGCCAGGTTCGATGTCACCCCGCTTGTGGATGCATCTCAGACTTTTCCGCTTTTGTGCATTTTCCGCCTGAATCTCGCTTATGTAAGCGGCGGGCATGCATCATAGCATCTTTGGAGGAAGCGTGAGCATCTTCTGAGAAACACAGCGTTCCATTCTGCACCTCTGGTTCATGACATTGTGCCACAGCTTGTCTTTTGCGCTTGTGAAATGTTGTTCTATAAGCTCTTGCTCGAGATCAGCTTATGAAACATAATCCCGCTTTACTTCCAGCGTGGGTCATGGCCAAGTTGTCCCCCGACTACGTGTTCAGCCTCCTCAAAAGCATGAACGAGGCTGAGAGGGCCCACTTTTTGAAGCGAATGGAAGGAGACCCGCTTCTTCCTTCCACAACGCCGGCACCCGCTTTGGCAGCAGCACCTTGGGAGCAACCTGCTTCGAGCACCGTGATCGACCCCATCGGGGACTCCATCGCTGCCGAAGATTACGGACCACCGGCCGCTTCAAAGTCTTCTCCCTCGCCTCCTGCACCCACTTTGGAGGCACCAGCGGAGCCGGAGCCTAAGGCAGCCAGCGGTGGCCAGAGCGCCCCCACGGAAGCCACTTCAGCTGCTCAGGGCGACGGGGCCAAAGCCGATGCCACGGGGGACGGGGTCACGAACGCCAAACGCTGGCAACGTGAACCCGAGGTCAAGGAACCGCCGCCGCGACCTCCTTCGTCACCCGCTTTGGCGTCGCAAACCCCAAAAGCCGGGGTACCGCTGCTGAAGTCGAAGAGCATGGCCACACCCGCTCCACCCGCTTCGGTGACTACTACAGTGTAGTAGCTACACCCCCGGCGGCTACGCCCGCTTCGGCGTCTACTACACCCCCGGCGGCTACGCCCAGCGCCCCTCCCGCTTCCAAGGCCCCGCCACCGCCGCTTGTGGAGGAGGGCACCACGGGCGGAAGCTCGGGCAACACAGGGCAACAGCCGCCCACTTCAACGCCACAGCGCGAGATTGCCCCGCTTCTCGCTAGTGACGCCCCAGCCTCCCGCTTGGGGCACACTATCTATGACAGCGAAGGCCGGGCCACTTTGCAGCTGGTTCAATTGTGGGCATGCCGCCGCCAGTGTTCCCAATGCGCTCAGGGACACTGTCAGGCGACATTCAGCGACAGATCCAACAGCTTCCACGTGAACCACTTATGCAGAGACTGCAAACGCGCTCGTGGGCGTGAGCGCCAGGAGGCCACTTCACAGTGGAACCATGGCCAAGACGAGTGGGGCCAGAGCCAGACCGCTTGGGAGGAGTCGCCCGCTTGGAGCTCCTGGAACTGGTCTGGACGGGCATGGCAGCACCAGTGAAGTCCACGCTGCCCCCCACTTTTCAAGCTTCGGCATTGAATCGCCCACTTTTGGGTCGACCCAATTTGTACACGGGCGACCCCGCTGGGCTTGTGAGCCCGCTGGAGCTCGGCTTTCGTAAGCCAGTCATCTCGAGCACCGCTTCCCGCTTGGAAAATAGGCGGCAAGCTCCGACAGCTGCATCGAAGTGTGCATCCGCTTGTGATTCGCTGAGAAACATGACATCATTTATCTCCCCCGCTTGGGTCAAGCACAGCCCTTTCCCGCTCGGGGGCCTCTCTCGCTGCCACGCCACAGGCCACAGGTACACACTTGAAGTCTCTAATTTTTGTTGTGTGCCTCGCAGGACGATCATCTCCGAGGCCCACGCCTCAGACTTCTTCACATCCCGCTTTACATCAGCCGTGCATCCCGCTCAGGCCCCTTCGACATGTCCGACTTCTCGCAGTTCGTGTCGGACTGCAACGTACCTCCCGCGGTGGCCTCTCTGCTTTCGGAGTTCGACACCGCTTTGTACGCACGTGCTTGCACAACTCCTTCCGAGCTAGAGGAACTGATCACCCACTTCATGACTGAAGCCGCGGTGACAGAAGCAGCGGAACGCTTTATCACGAAAGCATCGCTACGCCTGCTTTTCTCCAAATGCAGGCAGTCGGAAGGCATGGCATCCTTGGAAGCCACGCCCAGCTCTTCTCTCCCGCTTGGAGAAGCGCCTTCAACAGCTGTGCCAACCGCTCCGGCAGCAGTTCCGCTTTCTAGCTCATGGCAGGAGGCTTGGCCGGCAAAACTCAGCGGCGAACGCACTGCAGCGCTTAGGAGAAGGTTCGAGGAGGATTACCCCACTGAACTCCTCGACGCCGAGAGCTTTCCGAGCGCCCGCTTGTTGGCCCTCACCAATAAGATGCTTTCAGAAAAGGAAGTGCGATGGATTCCCTGGAAGTACCGCTTAAGTGCAAGGGCGCAAGAAGACAGCCTGCTTATCAGGCCCAAGAAACAGGCCCGCTTTGACATCGCGGAGTTCTTCTTCGACGAGGCCCCAACCAGGGATATACATGAAGGCCCCGCTTCATTCAGCTTCGTGACACAGCTTCTCTCACTTGCTGCGAATGCGATCGCTTTATGCCAGGGGGCCCACCTAGGCTCCCTGAAACTCTACAACAAAAAGTTCACCCGCATTTGCTTCACCAAATACGAGGCCTCCGCCAACCTACGGGGCCCCACTACGATGGAAGCCCAGGCAGCTGATCGCCGATGTTGGGAAATCATCGCCGACTTAGTCAATGTGCATCATTGGAAGCTAGATGACGCGCTTCACGAAGTGGCGGAGGTGCGCTCTGATTTGCACAGCTTACTTGCGCCCAGGCCCTTCGTGCCCAAACCCAAGCACGACCCGGACAACAGCTGGAAGACCGGTGCCAAAGGCAACGGTCGTGGAGGCAAAGGCGGGGGCCGGGGCAGCAAGGGCCGCGATGGCAAAGGCGAAAAGGGAGAGCGCTTCGAGAGAGGCGGCGGCAAAGGTGGCAAAGGTAAGGACAACAAGCAGGCGACGCCTCCCGGAAAATGGCTTTCAACCATCTTCATGGATGGCAAGCGCCAGACTCTTTGCATGCGCTACCAGAGCGGTCAGTGCAAGGACCCAGCCACGTGCCGCTATGTGCACAGATGCGCAGTGCCCAAGAGTGACGGCACCGCTTGCGGAGGTAATCACCCAGCTTCCCAGCATGTGGCTACCCCGCACTAGGAAACCCACTTCAGCGACCAGCGGGACATCGCTGAGGAGGTCACAGTTGTCCCGCTTTCAGTGCCTGCTCAGCCTTCAGGTTCAGCAGGGGCAACATCGGCACTGCCCAAGGCTGGTGCCCCAGTATCCAGTGCATCTTTGGCGATCAGTGAAGGCTCCCTCGACTTCGCTACCTGCTTGGAGCTTTTAGCGCAGTACTTTTCCATTCCCTTCATTGATGCCGCAGGCCCCACCGACAATGCCATTGACGCTTCCGGAGCATATTTCAACCTGGGAGCTTTCTCCTTTGATAACGGCACCAGGTCGGGGATATTTCAGCGCACTGAACAATTTTCCGATGTACTTCGTTTCTTGAACGCTTTCATGCAGCTTCAGTTCCCGGGTGCCTCTTGGAGCTCCTTGTGCGTGAGCCACAACGTTCGTACTCGCTTACACACGGATGCTGGCAACGCTTCAGGAACACTCAATCACACAGTTTCACTCGGCAATTTCAGCGGAGGTGAGATCTGGATTAGCCCAGCTTTGGATCCCTCTGCGGCCAACATCCCGGCCCCACTGGAGGCCTCATCCGAGGCCCACAGAGCAGAAGATGCAAGCAAAGGTGAATTGCGCGACACCTGGCATTCACCGCTTTCCTTCAGCTGTGAATCCCTCCATTGTACGATGCCAATCCAAGGAGACAGGTGGGTATTGACTGCCTACACTTGCAGGAACCTACACAGCTTCGACATGAAGTCGCTTGCACATTTAAAGTCACTGGGATTCCCATTGCCTCCAGTTCCTACAGCATTTCCTCAGGCTTTACCCTCTGCACCGAAGGACAATACGCACGTCGAGATCTTCCTAGATATCTGCTGTGGTGCCTCTCACCCACTTACCACAGCGATCTCATCATGTGGCATCATATGTTTGCCCATTGACCTGCTTGGTGAGGAGCAGCTGGATCTCTTGCACGACGACACGTGCGATCACCTCCTTCGGTTATGCTTCTCAGGCATTGTACGTTTTGCTCATGGATCCCCGCCATGCAAAGAATACTCCCGCTTGAAGCTACGCCCCGGGGGACCTGCTGCTATCCGATCCCCAGAACATCTCAACGGTTTGCCAGGCAATACAGCTTCACAGCAGGAACGCGTGCTAAGCAGCCAGAAGCTTCTGTATCGCTGTGTATGCCTGCTTCGAGCCGCTTTCAACTCAGGTGCACATGTATCTCTGGAACAGCCCACGAACGCGATGTCTTGGCTTGAACCATTCGTACAGGACATGCTTGCTGAGATACAGGCTTCACTGGTCAACATCCCGGCGTGCTCAGTTGGCCAGAATATAGCCAAATCTTGGCTTTTCGCATGCAGCTTCGATGATATGCAAGCCCTGGCAGGTACATGCTCTCATTCGGAGGGTCATCCTTCTGTGGCCGGCGTCCGGGACGAGCTTGGCAACTTTTTGTCACAACGCACCGCAGAGTACCCAGCTGAGTTAGCAAACCGCTTTGCTCAGCAGGCGGCCAAACTTTTCTCATCATGCCGGCCCTCCCACAGTGTTCCCACTTGTTCTTTGGCGTTCGCACTCGCTTCGATCCCCAAGAAGCCCCGTGCAGCTACAACCACAGCATCACAGGATGGAGGTGGCATCTACTCCCTGCCGGACTGGTCAATGGGCCCCAGATACCAGTCTGACAGCTTACACGATTTGCGCAAAGAATGGCAGTCCTGGCTCCTCTCGCACAGGATACCACTTCGCCTTCAGCAACATGTCGCAGCTGGCAGTAACAGCCCACTTTTCTCGGAAGAGGAAACATCGTGGCTGCGTGGATCCTTTAAACGCTTTTCGGACGCCCACTCCCCAGCCCAGGATTGGGACTTCTCTGTTAAGGAGGGTCAACCATACTGCTTATCTGCACTTGAGCGCTTGAGCACACTCTTGGGGGATAAAGACACAACTTTATTTCCCGCTTTGCAGAAGGGGGTCCCAACTGGCTTTGATGGGGACATCCCTCGCAGCCACACCCTACGTCCCCGCAGTGCAGAGGAAACTGAAAGCTCCGCAGACCTGCTTATCTGCGAAGGCAACTGGCAGGGAGCCGAGGCAGATCCGGCCCTGCTTCAGGAGCTTATTGAAGAAGAGGTATCCTCCGGCTACATCGAGGAAATGGACAGTCTGGAGGCCGCTTACGAAAGGTGGGGAAAAGATCGTGTTGCAGTTGGTAAGGTCAACATCGTCAAAGCTCCAGGCCGCGCTCCCCGCTTGGTGATCGATAACAGCATTTGCAACACGAACCAAAACTGCAACGTTCCCGAGCAGTTCTCCCTACCGAGCCTCCAGGACATCCAAGCCGCTTTCCCGACGAGAGAGGACGAGGAGCCCGCTTCAGGCTTCAGCTTAGATGTCAAGGGAGCGCACAAAACCTCACTTGTGCGGGAGCAAGACAGAGGCCTGCTTGGCCTCAGACAGCAGGACCGCCTCTTCTTTTACCGTGTCTGTCCGTTCGGGGCCACCTTTTCCAGCCACTGGTTTGCCCGCTTGGGAGGCTTCTTTGTGCGATGCTTACATCTACTTATCTGGCTGGCCCACGTCCTGCTGTTGTACGTAGATGATCTGCTTCTTTGGCAAAACGCCCGTGCACTTCCACTCAGCGCTTCTTTGGTCCTAGCGTTCTGTTCATGCTTCAACATACCGCTTAGCTGGCGCAAACTGCAGATGGGCCCATCTATAACCTGGATAGGGTGGCAGCTCGATTTCCACGCTGGCTGTTTTACACTGCCCGAGATAAAGCGCTTGAAGCTGCTTTCGCAGGTGGAAGACTGTCTGAGGCACCGGCTCGTCACCCGCAAACAACTGGACAAACTCCTTGGCCTACTCCAGTGGATCTTGCACGGGCTTCCCGCTTTGCGCCCATGGCTTTGCACACTGTATGACGACATGCACAGACCACTTGGTACAAATGTAAGCATCAGCCCTTGCTCCTGGCCAGGTATTCACACATACTTGGACGACAAGCTGCGCTTTACTGGGACACCGCCGGGCACTAGCATTTCTGAAGGGTCCACTTTGCTTTCTGCTCGGCACAAAACTCTACATAGCAAGAAGGACCTCGCTTTAGTCCCGGTAAGCACAAAGCGCATGTGGCTTCGTGTTACAGACCCCACTTCTTCGAAGCGACGCCTTTCGGAGGCCAGCCGAGAAACACTTTCCTTCTTTGCCCATTTGAGCTCCAGGGAATGGCGCCCTCGACCGCTTAGACCACCACCTACCAGCTCGGTGGAGTCAGCAGCTGACGCTTTTGGCAAAGGCAACAACTGTGGCGTTGGCGGTTGGCTACTTCTCCCATGTGGAAGACTGCTTTGGTTTTCTCACCGATACACTGTCCAGGACTTCCTAGAGCTTGGCCTGCCAATGCAACCCGATGCCAACCTGGACATCTCCAGCTACGAGACGCTTGCACAGTGCTACGTGCTTCTTGCTTTCTGGAAAGCCCATGGTTCAGGTCGCTTGGCTCTGACATTACCAGCTTTGAGCGATAATAGTGGTGCTGAGTCGGTGTGTAACAAGCTTTACACTTCTAAAGTACCACTTAATCTTTTCGTTCGCAAGCTTTCAATGTGGAGCTCTATAACCGGTGTCACTTTGGACTGCAGCCATATCGCTGGCGAAAAGAACGATGACGCAGATCTTCTTTCTCGGTGGGACGGCTCCGCAGAACTCCCGGCCAAGTTTCTGCCTTCCAACCGCATCGAGCTGTACCTGTCTGAGTTCTGGCAGATCCGCTTTCAAGTGAAGCTTTTTCCCTCCGACACATTTTTAAAGTGGCAGCTTCCTTCGGCCACCAGGTTGGGCCCGACAAACCGCGGCTCAACGAAGCGCAAATAGCTTCCTCACCTCACTTTTCTGCTTGGGACTTCACTGCGTTTGCGAGGTTTCGGCTTGCCAGTTTCAAACCCGGGCTTTTGCGACTGCTCCGCTGCTTCAGCTTCTTACACCCGGATGGATCAAAGATTCGTCCGAGGAACACTTTCGCTACCGAGCAGTCGCTGCACCGGCAAGCCGAAAAAGAAGAGAGGGACGTCGAACTTTGTTGCACACCTTTGCTTGCTTCTTTCGCTTAGCCCTCTCCTCGCAGTAGCCTTTTGGTGTTGCGTGGTGTAGTACTGTCCTGAACGGTTCCTGTGTTTACTCAGGGTTGTTTCGGACATACTCATCCCCGCGGCCCCGCTTGGGTTCAAGCATACACCACGCAACAGCAGCTAGCTTTTCTAAAAACTTTCCCACCCGCCCACACCTTTGGGCACGCTTTCAACGCAGCATGGAGCTTTTCAGTCTCAGCCCGCTGGTCAAGCTTTGATCGCTTTATTGCTTTCGCTGTTCTTTTGCTTTTTCTATCGCTTTACAGAGCTTACATACCGATACGGGCTTTTGCGACTGCTCCGCTGCTTCAGCTTCTTACACCCGGATGGATCAAAGATTCGTCCGAGGAACACTTTCGCTACCGAGCAGTCGCTGCACCGGCAAGCCGAAAAAGAAGAGAGGGACGTCGAACTTTGTTGCACACCTTTGCTTGCTTCTTTCGCTTAGCCCTCTCCTCGCAGTAGCCTTTTGGTGTTGCGTGGTGTAGTACTGTCCTGAACTGGTTCAACTGCGCCTTTGGCGGCGCGACTGGCGCGCGAACAGCAGTGAAAGTAACGCTTTCACTCCATACGCCAGGGCAGTGCCCCGGAGATCTGTTACTTACCAGGGCGGTGCATCGACTGACCTCAGTGAGGCTTTAGGTGCTTTCCTTGCTGAATTGCCTCAGTGAGGCAGTTGTAAAACTGCTGGGAGCAATCTGGCAGAAACCGCAGCTCGTGTTCCACCCTATCTGGTCAGCCTCAGTTGAAGCGTGCTGAGCTTTGGAAGGCTCCGGTGGAAACTGTTTTCTACCGCACCTGACTCACACTGCCGGCAGGTGGTTTCAAGCCTAAATTTGCTCGTAAATGGCGAACCTTTTGGTGCAAGGACCCGCTGCGAGTCCCTAAGGGCCCCTGCGAGCTGCTAAGGGCCCCCTGCCCGCTGCTTTTCTGTGGGCTCGCGTTAGTAATGACGAGCTTCTGTGTTGCTTTAAGACAGCGCCGCGCAGTGCGCGCACAACGCCCCAGAGCTTGATGTTACTTGCACTGCTGGCCCCAACCGAGACTGGGGGAAGAACATTGCACATCAAACGCAGTGCGCTGCTCTGCCGCGCAACGCGCAACGAAGGGGCTTGTATCACCCGTTCGTGCCCGCTGCTGCAGTGCAGCAGCCGCCGCTTCTCAGCTCTGGGAGGCACAAGTGCAGACTCCTTTCTCCAGCACCTGTCTCACAGTGCGAGCAGGTACTTTTAGTCCTTAAATTGCCTGCAAATGGCCGATTTTTTGTTGTACAAGCCCGCTGCGAGTCCGTAAGGGCCACTGCGGGTTGCTAAGGGCCCTCTCCCTTGCTCTTTTGCAGGCATAAACGTCGTGTGAATCCCCACGTCTGTTCCCCAAGTGCGGCCTTGGAGCAGTGCCCATAGGCAAGGGAATCGCAAGCACCCTGGGGGCTACAGATTAGCCGCCACGTAGCGACCCAGTGGGTCGCTAGAGCTCAGAAGCAACAGCTCGTTTCGAGTGCGAGCTGCTGCCATACTTGCTGAGCCTACAGTTGTGGGCGAAGCACATAGCAGGCAGTGACCTGTTCGTGTGGATTGACAATGACGCAGCGCGTACATCCCTACACAAAGCCTTCACAAGGAAGGCGGCAGGCGCCGCGATAGTATCGCAGGCAGTCGACGTGGAGGAGTCCCTGCACTGCAGGGCTGCTTTCTTCCGCGTGCCCACCGTCAGCAACATTACTGATGGCCCCAGCAGAGACTGGTGGGAAGAGACTGAGAAACTTGGCGCAGAGCGCTAATTCCTTCCTCGCTGTTGGCCTTGTCACTCGGCGCGGACTAGATGGGGGGTGAGTAAGGCTTCGAGTGCCTTGAAGGGGGGTGAACCAGTCGTTCGCCTTACCTGCGACCAGCGGTCGTTCTTTTCAGACAGATGCCAGCGGCATCCTTCGTTTCAGTGCCCGAAGATCGGGCCCGAACTGACCCCCCATGTCCGCTAGGAGAAAAAAAAAGAGAGTGCTTGCACAGGGTTTAACTGCAGCGCGGTTAAGGGTTTCCCGTTACGCGCGCAAACGGAAGTTTCGTTGGGAAATAAGCTTCCATCATGCGTGCGTGAATGGGTTTTATTTCCCGCCGAAAGTGTAGACAAAGTTTTGTCGTAAAAGGAAAACAGTGTTTTCACTTGTGTGTTGTGAACACTAGACAAACTTTGCCGTGCAGCTTTCGGCTTGAAGTGGATCTGTGATCCAAAAGTTTTTATCCCACCCACCACACCCTGTATAGTATGCGGGGTCTGGGACCACGCTTGTGGCAGCAGAGCTGCCGGAGCAGCGCTCCTTGTTCTATCTCTAGCAGAGATCTCATCTTCAGCACAGCGTGCTTTGCTGTACATAGGCCGTAGGCCGTCAACAACGCAGAGTAGCTAGTAGTAGACTGCAGCGACCCTGTGGGTCGAAGAAAGTTTCACCTTTGTCTCCAGTAGTACTGAGACACCCCTGGTAGGGGGCAGGAGGGGGGTGAACCAGTCGTTCGCCTTACCTGCGACCAGCGGTCGTTCTTTTCAGACAGATGCCAGCGGCATCCTTCGTTTCAGTGCCCGAAGATCGGGCCCGAACTGACCCCCCATGTCCGCTAGGAAAAAAAAAGGGGAGTGCTTGCACAGGGTTTAACTGCAGCGCGGTTAAGGGTTTCCCGTTACGCGCGCAAACGGAAGTTTCGTTGGGAAATAAGGCAATGAAGTTTCTCTCGGAATGTTCGGTAAAAGCAGCAACAACACTCGGATCCTCGAAAAGCGCAACATCAGTGTGATGCACACTCCCAGCCTCGGTCAGCTCTGGCCGCTTTAGCTCCCACAGGAGCTGCTTGGACATCGTTGACATATCCACATAGCTCGCCATAACTGGTAGGCAGGAGGTCAGTCCCTTTGTAGGCCGAGGAACCAGATAATCCCTGGAGAAGGCAAATCCATCAGAAGCCCAGATCTCATATCCGGTAGCCAGCCAATCGCTATGCAAAAGCCATGCATCCTTGCAAACAAAGAATGGCAGCCATCTGATGCGTTTGTCAGTTCCCGAAGTCTTCGTTCTATCGAAAACTCCTCGTAATCCTTGCGAAGACATCGTCATCTGCTCCGGTAGAATGCCCTGCAGGTCATTGGCCCTGCTAGATGTCCATAGTTTCAGTAGCCGTGCCCACGCATACGCTCTGACGAACTTCTTATGCGCAGTGTTCACAACCACGGCCTCTAAAGACATGACCATGATGAGGGCCAAAGATGGAGCTTGCTTGGTAGGCGGCGCCCCTGCTTCAAGCTCGGCAGTGCGAACTCGAACCAAGTTCCGCACCAGGACATGGGAGGAGATGGAGGCCTCGACCTTGACCCCTCCGACCCTCTCGAAGAAAATCACTGCAGAGAGCACAGACTGTAGTCTGGTCCTGGCACAAGGTTCCTGCGCCAGCTCTTCCACATAATTCAACAAGAGTCCTAAATGCGAGGGGAAGACTGTCCCCTCAACAGCGAATATCCATGCCGCAAACTTGGTCCATTCCCTCACGTGCCGTCTTAGGGTGGACGCTCTAAGCGTTCCGGCTGACGCCTCCAATACAGCTTGGCAATCAAGGGCGTAACTTGCCATTGAGCATACCGGCATACAAGCCCTTTTCAGCTCCTTCGCTAAAGCCTGCCTCCAGCGTCGGAGCTCTGCAGCCTCAGCGTCGGCCCTCGCACGATCGTGCTTGGCCAAGGCAAGTTTTTTAGCCAACCGACACGGCCACGCCGTGAGGGATCGCTTTGCACCAGCTCTTGTCTGAAGCCACCCAGTGCTTACTTCAAGCTGCTGCTGAGGCCCAGCCGAAATCGATGAGGACGTTTGCGCCAGCTGACCTTGCACCGCTCTAGTCCTCAAGACGCGATCTGCAGCCTGTGATACATCAGAGCAGACCTTTTCAAGAATCTCGCATGCACTGAACCATTCAGCTGAGCCCATTGTAAGTCCCAGTGATTCCACAAAATCTTTGATGTCTGAATCATCTGAAAACAAGTTCGACAAAATCTCGGGAGAAGGCTGTCGCGACTCCTGATCAAGAGCCTTCTTGACACACTCAGGTAAGTCCTGCCACGACAGACTGGAGTCAGCCTCTTCCTGAGGCTCTTCGTCACCCATCGCGCATGACGATCACTCCGACCCATACACAAATGAGTCCCCCCCTCCCCTTTTGGACTCCGCAGAGCCGAGCCCAAAGGTTCGGACGAATATTGATTGTCATCTGTTCCTCCAGCAGGAGGGAACAAGAATTGCACATGAAGAAACTCATGTAAAACAAATCACCGTGTGACATGAAAATCAATCCACAAAAGAGTCGAAACTCGACTCAACAAATGGAAAGCATTTTCGATATTGGCACATGAAAATGTGAGCAAGTTATGTTTCAAAATCTCATTCTGATGGACAAGTCCACCTCACATGCTGGATTTGGTGTTTGGACTTGGACAGGTAAAGATTTCAACTGCGTCGAAAGCGAGAGTATTCGACAGGCCGACCTGTTACCATGTGCAAGGAGAGGCACGAGCAGGACGTTGGGAATGGAAGTACGAGGAACAGGCATTGGCAGAAGGATGTCGCCATTGCTGGATGTGCTATCCAGAAACCCGTCCCGGAGGAGTTCAACGTAAAGGACGTGGAGGACGCATGGAACCGCGTGGACAAGAGGACAGCGATGACTGTTGGGAAGTCATGGAGTATACCGTGGAGTCAACCTCAGGATGTCC